GAGCGCCGCGATAAGGGCAAGTGGGAGCCGAAGTGCTACTTGTGCGAAAGGCCGCACATATTGCGACACTGCCCCAACAAGAAGACCATGAGCGCCCTTGTGAAGGATAAGGGCAAGGGCAAGGTGGACGATGCGGGCAGTGATGAAGATAGGTGCATGGGGGCTATGCAGATGCTGAGTAGCATGGCGCATGACACCAAGAAGAAGGTTAAGGCAAAGAAGGTAGCTGGGGTGCGCTATGTGGATGCGCAGGTTGGTGGCAAAGCCGTGCAAGCGTTGGTAGACACGGGCGCTACACACAACTTCATTACCCCGGAGGAGGCGCAACGACTTGGCTTGGAGATGCGCAAGACGGAGGGCTGGATTAAGGCCGTTAACTCCGAGGAGGCACGCGTGAGTAGAGTGTGCAAGGAGGTGGAGCTATGCATGCAAGGATGGAAGGGCAAGGCTGACTTCCAGGTTGCGGAGATGGACGACCACGACATGGTGCTGGGGCTGGAGTTCATGGATAGGAACAACGCCGCACCACTACCATGCCTTGGTGCGTTAATGATACTTGGAGGCGAGGAAGACAAGGCCGCATGCATGGTGCCGCTCGTGGGCAGGAAGGAGAGTCCAGAGGTGGCAATCAACACGATGGAGCTCGTGAGGACCTCACATCTCCCGAAGGGCGCTCGTACGTTTGGGCCAAGGACATATGCGCAAGTACTGATGACCTGCGAGAGGCTGGGTCAGTTGAAGAAACCGTGACGAGGGCGTCACGGAAATGGGTGGGGGAGAATGTCACGCCCCGCCTATGGAGGTTGTGCCACGCAGGCGACACGCAGACGCTGAGGAGGATGCTGCATGGCAACTGCATGGCAAGTGGAGTTTCTAGAGTCTTCCGGAGTAGTCTAGAGTTGTGTGGAAGATTCTAGATATGTGTAGTATATTCTAGAGGTGTGTGGAAGGTTCTAGAATTCTCCAGAATTGTGTGGAGTAGTATGGAGGGTTCTAGAATGTTGTAGATATGTATGGAGATGTGTAGAAGGTGGAAGAAGATTCTAGAAAATCAATCTCCACCGTTGGTTAAAATGCATCCTAGCCATCCATTAGGGATGGGGATGCCTATAAATAGGAGTAGGACTTCATTTTGCAACCAACAAGTCCTAGAGTGAGTCTTGAGAGCCTTGTAGAGAGCTTGAGTGCTAGCCTTGTACAAAGCATTCTTTGAAGTAATAGAAGTGTTCTTTCCTTGCCAACTTAAGTGCCTTAGTGTGTGTGAGTGTGCAAGCCAAGTGAGGAGAGGGCGAGGGCAACTACAACACTAGTAAGCGCACGAGGGGAGTGTGTTGGCTAAGGTGTGCAAGGGAGTTAGGCTGACCAAGTACTTGCGAGAGTGAAAGCAACGTCTTGGTGCCGCACGGGAGCAGCTAGAGTGGTACTGAAACTCTAAGCCCGTGACATTTGGCTGAAAAATTCATTGATCTTGAGAGGAATTTGTGGCGTTCATGGCTGTGTAGCCAGTGAAGGAGAGTGTTCTATTGTTTCATAGTTTTTTGTTTTGTTTGATGGTTTATTTTGGTTTTTAAAATGAAGAAATTAAGTGACTATTTATAAAGTTGCTTTGATTAGTCCAATTTAAATATAACTAGAAAAAATAATTTGAAGTGTTACTTATCATTGAACACTAAAACAAGTATCAAGAGATTCCTAACTTACCATTTTTTCACTTAAAATCATAGTATCTAAAATTCATATTTTTCTAATTTTTAATACATACTTTTTACTTTTATCAGGTAGTACATTAAATTTTCCCTTTAAAGCCTTTTAATTTTGAAACGTGTAAGCAATAATGCATCTATTTATTTTTAGTTAGTTATGAGCTCAAGTTAATTATTAAATCTGAGAACAAATAAGGCCACCGTTTAAGAATTATTTTCATTTTGAATGAGATAGACTTAACACTTCATGCATGACCTCACCTACTTTTAATGCAAACAATTTATTGAGTCAAGCTTGGAGATAAAAGTCCTAATTTTAGCCTTATTTATTTATAAGTTATGAGGTGAAGCTAATGATCAAAACCTAGAATAAATAAAGGCCATTGCTTTATATAATAATAATAATAATAAGAGTTGAATTTCTGCATATAAGGTCTGCATTCAGATCATTATTCTCATCAACAAAGATCACACTGAATAATAATGATGATTAACCAATTAATAAATATCAGATGCTTCTACTCGTGTTTAACACCATGCGAGGACAGCGTTGGTCAATAGCCACGATTCTCTTCTCAACATCGAAAAAGACCGTAGGAAGAAGTTTGTCAACTGCTTTCAAAGAGAGAGGAACCCTAATAATTCTGCTTTTTGGAAGGATCTGTAAATTCCAACCAGTACTTTGAATTTGCCCAAATTTTCTTCCAAAAAGCGACAGAACATGGCCTGCAAAGTCATACAATTTCCTATCCACTATACAGTGAGGGCTATACACCACCCATTTTATTACTTTTTCCAGGGACTAATTCATGTTGAGGTTGGAGTATTTCGTCCTTTTATCCCACCATTTTCCTTATCCTCACGTCGTGGTTGTTTTGTCTAAATCAAGTATGGAAAAATCAAATTACATGATAACCACCCAAACAAAAGATATTAATAACGTTAGGACAAGTGTGAAATGAAGTTCGATGTCAAATTCCTAACATAAATGTAAATATATACTGTATGTAGAACGTAAAAATTGCGTGAAAAATACAAATTTTCAAATTTTACTTCTCAATCCTGTATATCTCTCACTCTAAAATAACTGTAATGATCACGAGAACGAGTGTGAGATACTGACAGGCTATCACACTGACGAGTTATGAATGCACAATCCCACATCGCCTGGGTAGGAGAAATGTGAAGTGCTTATATGTAGGCGTGTCACTCTAATTGGTGTGAAGTTTTTTGGGATAACGTGCGAGCTCAGACTTAAATGGATAATATCATACCATGTAAACGCCTAATACGAATGAGATTATAATATATATATATATCATATTTAATTCACTTTTTGGTGCCTCAAATTTCTTCTAATTTGTGACGTGGGGCATGTTTCTTCTAATTTGTGACGTGGGGCACGTGAGAAATAATAGTAATGCGTCCTTAATAATTGTTAATTATGCCCTAAAAGGTGTTTAATAATTATTAATTATGTCCATTTTATTACTTTTATAAGGGACTATTTAGTTGGAGGTAGGGGCACCTTTCATGACAAGTTTATTTTGTCCTTTTTGCCGACCTTTTTCCTCTTCCACACATTATGGTTGGTTTGTTTCTTTAAATCTAAGTATGGAAAAATCAAATTACCTGATAACAACCCAAAAGAAACATCTTAATAACGTTACAATGGTAAAATACAAAAATTTGATGAGAAATACTAATTTTCAAATTTCAGTTCTCAATCTTTTATTTCTCTCACTTTAAATCTTTCACAACACAAATCCTTCGTAAACTCTATTATATATTGAATTACAAAAGAGTTTTAAAATTGAATTCACAATTTGCAAGAAAAAAAATGAATTGAAGTTTTTTTTTTTTTTTTTTCTCCACCCACAAAGCTCTTTTGCGGGGCGTATTTGAAATGAAACAAAATTCATATCACAATTTCACAAATAAAACGTGGGTGCAACGAAAATTAGATTTTAAGTGTGTCTCTGTGATAGTTTTTTTCCTTAGAAATTCGAATTAAAGTGAATTCAATAATATATATTTTTTGTGTGCGCCTCAAATTTCTAGTTTGTTAAGCATTGTTTTCAAAAGTGGGCACGTGAGAAATAATAGTAATGCGTGCTTAATCATTATTAATTATGTCCTAAAATTTCTAGTCCCGAACTACTGCTGGAGAGTGGACGAGCGTGACGATCTAGGCTTCGAGTCTAAGAGAGTTGTGTTTATCTATAGCGTCGACTAGTGGCCTTTAATTTCATTATTCTTATTTTAATGATGTAATGGACAAAACATTTAGTCATACAGACACACGGGCTTCGATGGGAAAGTCGTTTGGATCCAATCCACAAACCCATTCATTTTCACACGCAACTCACGACAAATGTACAAATTGAAAGACATGAACCATCGATTGGCCCACCCAAAATCCAGTTAGATCTTCCATTGATAGAGTTTTAACCACAGTCCATTGCCTTTTGAACACACAATCTTCTTCAGAACGGTCAATCTTGCCCACCTCTCTAATAGGTTTCATTTCATTGTCAATCCAGAGGAGCAGAGCACAAGTCAATGACAATGTTTGAATGTCCCATCCAAATTCCGTTATACCAATAATTTCTTTTTTTTGGCAAGAAAAACACACCATGTCTCTAGGAGGACTCGAATCCGACCTTCTACTCTGGAAGGGGAGAAAAATTCCAAAAAATAGTAATAATTTACTTGATGATATTGCCTAAGTTCTGTATTTATAACATCTTACATATGCCTAGCTCTTGCTTTCTTATACTCGATAAGTCCCTCTTTTGCTGTTATTAATTTTAGTAACTCAGTGGAGTATTATAAATTTATAATAGAGTAAGGGATTTCTTATTGATGGACCACCGAGCAGATGTGAAGAAAAATATTAAAAGTCATTGAAAATGTTAAAAGGACATTGCTGAATTTTATATAGGACTAGCTAGATCAAGAAGAGGGAACAAAAACCCATATGGAACTTCTGGAATTGGCTAGTTTTCTGAACAAGTTGTGAAATTAATATGGTAAAACACTCTAGTTAATTACTCCATTGAAGCAAAGACAAGTACAAGGTAACCACAGTCCATAGCCTTTTGAACGCAAAATCTTCTTCATAACGGTCAATCTTGCCGACCTCTGTAATAGGTTTCATTTCATTGTCAATTCAGAGGAGAAGCAGCACAAGTCAATGACAATGTTTGACTGTCCCATCCAAATCCCGTCATACCAATAATTTATTTTTTTGGCAAGAAAAACACTCGAAGTAGTAATAATTTACTTGATGATATTGCCTAAGTTCTGTATTTATAACATGTTACATATGCCAAGCTCTTGCTTTATTATACTCAATAAGTCCCTCTTTTGCTGTTATTAATTTTTAGTAACTCAGTGGAGTAATATAAATTTATAATAGAGTAAGGGCTTTCTTATTGATGGACCACTGAGCAGATGTGAAGAAAAATATGAAAGTCATTGAAAAGAGTTAGAAGGACATTGCTGAATTTTATATAGGACTAGCTAGATCAAGAATAGGGAACAAAAAACCATATTGAACTTTTGGAATTGGCCAGTTTTCTGAACAAGTTGTGAAATTAATATAGTAGAACACTCTAGTTACTCCATTGAAGCAAAGAGAAGTACAAGGTAAGAATATTCAAGTATATGTCATTTATTCTGTATTGTATATTTGATTATATTTTCATTGTCTCATAACTTCACTATGTACTTATTTAAGTTATAGGATTCATATGGTTTCCCATAATGAAGCATTACGTGTTACAGACATGGAAGGGAGAGAGGGCTTGGAAGAAGTTACGGATGAATCTGAGGTTTCGAAGAGAATCCAACCATGGACAAAGCAGATCACAGCACGGGGAATTTTCGCGAGCATTGTGATAGGGAGCATCTACAGCGTGATATCGATGAAACTCCAACTCACAACCGGGCTTGCTCCTCATCTCAATGTCTCAGCTGCTCTGCTGGCGTTTGTATTCATTCGTACATGGACAAAGTTTCTTCAGAAGCTTGGAATTGTCTCAATTCCATTCACTAGGCAGGAAAATACCATGATTCAAACTTGTTCAGTTGCATGTTATAGCATTGCTGTTGGAGGTTTGAGGCTTGTAACAATCTTTGTTCAATTTGTTCATTATACTCCTTTATTATGTTTGCAAAAGCTTAATTTTTTATTAAATCGAGTTTAGGTGGATTTGGATCTTATCTGTTGGCATTAAGCAAGAAGACATATGAGCAGACTGGGGTTGACATTGAAGGAAATAGAGGTTACAAGGAACCTGGAGTTGGCTGGATGACCGGCTTTCTTTTCCTTGGTTGTTTCGTTGGTCTTTTTGCTTTAATTCCTCTCAGAAAGGTACATGGTGTTCATTTAATCTTACCCTTTTTTGGCTACTTTTGTTCGATGTATTATTAAAATACCACTTTCAATGAGTTGTAACTTTTCCACAGATATTGATAGTCGACTACAAATTAACTTTTCCAAGTGGCATGGCGACAGCAGTTCTTATTAATGGATTTCATACCCAGGGAGACAAAATGGCCAAGTAATTCTCCTTATATCTAATGAATTAATGTTACAATTCCATTTATGTGTGTGTGTGTATATATATATATATATATATATATATAACAATCAAGCCTAGAAGGGCAGATGTATTGATTATATATAATAATTTGCAGGAAGCAGGTACAGGGGTTCACCAAGTTGTTTTCTTTCAGTTTCTTGTGGGGGTTTTTCCAATGGTTTTACACCGGAAAGGATGGATGTGGATTCTCACAATTTCCTACTTTTGGATTGCAAGCTTGGAAGCAAACGTGTGTATAGTTCTGTTTTTATATTTCTCTTTTTCTGCTTCATCAAGCCTGACTACCGACTGATCATTCCTAGTTACATATTTTTGTAATTCGTAGGTTTTACTTCGATTTTAGCATGACTTACGTGGGAACTGGAATGATTTGTCCCCACGTTGTGAACTTGTCATTGCTTCTTGGAGCTGTGCTGTCATGGGGTATGATGTGGCCACTTATTAGTAATCTTAAAGGAGATTGGTTCCCTGCAAATATACCAGAAAGCAGCATGAAGAGCTTGAATGGCTACAAGGTCACAAGAGCCAATCTCTCTCCATATTTTATGGATATTCAAATATATATATATATAAATATAATTCTTGTTAACTTATAATTTATTGGCAGGTCTTTGTCTCCATTGCTCTCATCCTAGGTGACGGGCTATACACTTTCATAAAGATAATGGGCTTCACAATCATAAATATTTTTGGCAGATTGAAACACAAGAACCTCAACTCAGGTAAAATTGGGAGCATATAAAAGGTTATTTTTCCCCTTCACATGCTGATCAAGTAGGGCGCGCCAAATCGAAATTTCATTCCTGGATTTATGATCCTTCCCTTTCATAGGATGGCAGCTTAAACCGAATTGTGTTCATACACCCAAATTGCAACACTGAATTCATTTTTCACATCAATTTTGGTCCTGGCCTATTATGGAAAAACCTCTTTCAATGTCAACCTTTATTTTTATCAAACTAAAATTTCAAGAGCTTCAAAACCCTGTAATTTGCCTTACAAGGCCCAATTTGGCTTAAACCTCTCCATTAGATTATTCTTGAGTTTCAGTTTTTTTGTTTTGCTTGAATGAACAAAGTGCAAGTGTTAGTACTTTAACTAGTTATACTTGCAAGAAAGGGCGTTGGAAAAATTTGAAGTTGTAACTAACATATCTTCTGGCTGCAGCTGAGGGAAGCCAGAACAAGGCCGTGGATGATGAACTAAAACAAAATGAAGTGTTTATGAGAGACAACATTCCCATCTGGGTAGCAGCCATCGGATATATCATTTTCTCCGTCATTTCTGTCATCGCTATTCCCTTCTTATTTCCTGAGCTCAAGTGGTACTATGTCATTGTAGCCTACTTTTTTGCTCCATCTCTAGCCTTCTGCAATGCTTATGGAGCTGGTCTAACCGATATGAACATGGCCTATAACTATGGTAAAGTAGCTCTTTTTGTGCTGGCCGCATTGGCTGGGAAAGAACATGGCTTGGTGGCAGGGTTGGCCGGGTGTGGTCTCATCAAATCGGTTGTCTCAGTTTCTTGCATTCTGATGCAAGACTTGAAAACCGGTCATCTCACTTTCACATCCCCTCGCGTAATGCTCCTGAGCCAGGCCATTGGCACGGCCATAGGATGTGTGGTAGCTCCTCTAAGCTTCTTTCTGTTCTACAAGGCATTCGACGTGGGCAACCCAGACGGAGATTTCAAGGCTCCTTGGGCTGTTATATACAGAAACATGGCGATTCTAGGCGTTCAAGGCTTCTCAGCATTGCCTCAACATTGTTTGCAACTCTGTTACGGGTTCTTCGCCTTCGCGGTGGGTATCAACCTGGTAAAAGATCTGTCCCCTCCCAAGATTGGGAAATGGATGCCAATACCGATGGCCATGGCTGTGCCATTTATAGTTGGCGCCTACTTTGCTATTGACATGAGTGTGGGGAGTTTGGTTGTGTTTGTGTGGCACAAGCTTAACACCAAGAATGCTGAGTTGATGGTTCCAGCAGTTGCTTCTGGCTTAATCTGCGGTGAAGGACTGTGGATCCTTCCTGCATCAGTTCTTGCTTTGGCTAAAATAAAGCCTCCCATCTGCATGAAGTTTCTAGCTTCTTAGAAAAGCCTCCATTGCTATTGTTAGAGATATAAGAATTCTGTAATTTACAACTACGTATGTATAAAATGGTAACTTGTGAGACTACTTTGAAATATATTGTTGGACTCCTTTTGTAAAGAGTAATTAGAGGGAGTCTCTCTGTCCGATAATTTTATTTAAATAATGATATTGTAAATATTAATGGCATCATCGTAATATCAACATCATTCATGAAAATCAATTGAACTCATCTGACTTTAGAACTTTGAATTTTTACTCTTTCTTAAATTTTTTAAAGATACGGTAGGTGTGTAACTTACCAACAAAAAGGAAAGGCTTGAAAATAATATACTATTTGATCAATCAACCAACAGTATGCGCTGTGTAGACATGTTTGACCGCTTGGGCTTCAATCAGCAAATGAAGAAGTACAAGCCTATAAGGTTCACCCTTTGTTTTCCTTTCTCCATTTGTTTAGAAATAAAATGTGTTTTAGGAAATATTTTATTATGTTTTGGTTAAAATATTTATAAAGAAAAAAAAAAAAAAAATTAAAATCTAACAAAAATAACTTATTTATTAATTTTTGGTAAGTTATTTTACATGTCCCATCAGATGGACTCGATCAAAACCTTTGTCAAACACAAAAAAAATAAATATATAGGTGTATATATTTTACCTAAAAAAAAAAAAAAATCTTTTCTAAGAAAAATATTTTATGTCCAAACGAAAGGATGAGTAATTTTATATAGATAGTTAGGAATTTTTTTCATATAGATTCACGTATAAAACTATTGAGCCATCCACTTAATTCTATTTACAACACTTATGAGTTCATCATCCCAGGGATCTATATTCTTTTTAAATTTCTTAAATTGAGTATAATTAGCAAGATTAAGTCTTCGTTTGTTTTGACATAAAATATCTTTTTCGAAAAATATTTTTTTTAGGTAAAATATATTTTGTATTTTTATTTTTCAATATTTGGCAAAGGTTATTGAAGTTGAAGTCGAGTTCATCGAGTGGAGCTTGTAAAGTAATTTGTCGAAAATTAATGAGTAAGTTATTTTTGTTAAGTTTAATATTTCTTTTCTTCATAAATATTTTATGATGACCAAACACCAAAAAAATAAAAAAATAAAAAATAAAAATTAAAATTTAATTTTTTTTTTTTTTTTTTTTTTTTTTTACATCCAAACAAATGAATTAGACAAAAAATTAGCAAAATATAGTTTGAACTACAAAGGAATCTTTGGACTTGTCTTTTTACTCTCTCGTTGTCCACTTTAGATATTAGGAATTTTTAAGGGGATATTCCTTTCTAAAATTATTAAGTTGTCCTTCTAAGTTTAGATATACATATTACTATATTTTGAAAATATAATCTTGTTTACTTTGATTTTCCAAATGAGATAACTGATATGGGATACCTCTAAATTGAAAGATGGAGAACGTCATCAACTAAATAGAAAAAATGGACATGAAGGGAATGATATATCTTTTTATCCCTGAATTATCTCTAACCTCATGTAGCGGCCTTTTAGTTGTTGGAAATGGAATGAAGTAGATGACAAACCAGTCACGTTCACGCCAGAGTTGAATTATAGAAACATGAACAGGTTGAGCAAAGACATGAAACATCACTCAATTTTCACTCTCAGCTGATATATCACTTTCACCTCTTTGTATGATTGACCCACCCAATGTTAATACATGGTAATATTCCAGAGAGAAAAGTTTTGAAACCACACAATCTGTAGCTTTTTGAAGAAGAATAAACTTTTTCACTAGTCATCTTGCCAATTTATCATTTTATGTATGGCGTGTTCGAGTCACGCGGCCTGACTTTTTGAAGAAAGAAGATCCTCTGAAGCATTATCGTTACCACCACAGAGAGTGTGGAGGAGAAAGAGGAGTCAATGATAAGGTTTGCATGTCCAATCCAAATTCTGTTATATTAATAATTTATTTAATGGTAGATATATAATGTTAAACATTATTGCCTAAGTTATATATATATATATATATATAGCATCTTATATATGCCAAGCTCTTGCATTCTTATACTCAAATCTTAGTATTTCAGTGGAGTTATAACAGAGTATGGGCTGTCTTCCTGATGGACCCGAGTAGATTAGGTAGCTAGATCAAGAATGTTGACAAAGACCTACATGGAGCTTTTGGAAATGGCCAGTTTCTGAACAAGTAGTGAAATAAGTAGATTAAAGTATATAAAGAACCATCTGGCAGTTTTGTCCTATTACATTAAAATACAAGAAGGCTATACGGGTATATGTCGTTTGTTCTGTATTTATATATTCATTGTCTCATATCTTCATATATTTTCTGTACTGTAATGAAGCATTACATGTTGCAGATATTCCATTGAGTCATGGAAGAACTGAATCATGACAAGGAGATAGGGAGAGATGGGTTGGAAGAAGTTCACGACGAATCTGATGTTTCGAAGAGAATCCAACCATGGACAAAGCAGATCACAATACGGGGAGTGATTGCTAGCATTATGATGGGGAGCATCTACAGCGTGATAGCCATGAAACTGAACCTCACAACCGGGCTTACTCCTAATCTCAACGTCTCAGCTGCTCTTCTGGCATTTCTATTCATTCGTACATGGGCAAAGCTTCTTAAGAAGGCTGGAGTTGTCTCGGTTCCTTTTACTAGGCAGGAAAATACCATGATTCAAACTTGTTCAGTTGCATGTTATAGCATTGCTGTTGGAGGTTTGACGCTTGATTTTACAACTTTTGCAATACAATTTGTTCATTCTACTACTTCATGATGTTTGATTTTTTGTTTTTTTGTTTTCCAAAACAATTTTAGGTGGATTTGGATCGTATCTGTTGGGATTAAACAAGAAGACATATGAGCTGACTGGGGTTGACACCGAAGGAAATTCTCCTGGAAGTTACAAGGAACCTGGAATTGGCTGGATGACCGGTTATCTGTTCCTAGTTTGTTTCATTGGTCTGTTTGTGTTGATTCCTCTCAGAAAGGTATATGATTATATGTATAACTTTATTAATCCTACTTGCTGATTATGGTAAACCAAAACAGATTTAGTATTACTTTCATAAAGAATTAAGATGTTCTTCAGCTTATCGATGAATGTGGGGCTAAAATTTACTAATAGTTGCATCCACTAAAGTTAGAATAGACAGCCATCAATAAAAGTACCTGTTTTCAAGCTTTATTAAAAGGAGATTGAGTTGTAAGTGGTCCACAGATATTGATAGTCGACTACAAATTGACTTTTCCAAGTGGCATGGCGACTGCAGTTCTCATTAATGGATTTCATACCCGGGGAGACGAAATGGCCAAGTACTTCTCCCTTTCTTTTTACCAAATTTTCTCACAATTATATATATATATATATAACAATGAGGCCTAAAAAAGCAGATGTATGAATATATGTAATTAATTTGCAGGAAGCAGGTACGCGGGTTCATGAAGTTGTTTTCTTTCAGTTTCTTGTGGGGGTTTTTCCAATGGTTTTACACTGGAATGGAGAATTGTGGATTCTCACATTTCCCTACTTTTGGATTGCAAGCTTGGAAGCAAACGTGCGTAGTATTGTTCTGTTCTGTGCTGTTTTATATTTCTCATTTCTGCTTCATCGACCCTGACTATTGACTGATCATCCCTACTTACATGTTTTTACAATTTGCAGGTTCTACTTTGATTTTAGCATGACTTACGTGGGAACTGGAATGATTTGTCCCCACATTGTGAACTTGTCATTGCTTCTTGGAGCTGTGCTGTCATGGGGTATAATGTGGCCACTTATTAATAGGCTTAAAGGAGATTGGTTCCCTGCAAATTTAGATGAACACAACATGAAGAGCTTAAATGGCTACAAGGTCACTAAATCCAATCTCTTTTCTCCAATTTCTATGGATGTTATAATAATAATTATATATATATATATATATATATAAATAAAAAAATAAAAACCCCGTATACATCTTGTTAACTTATAATTCTTTGGCAGGTCTTTATCTCCATTGCTCTCATCTTAGGTGATGGCCTATACACTTTCATAAAGATCATGGGCTTCACCATCATAAATATTTGTGGCAGATTGAAACACAAGAACCTCAACTCTGGTAAAATTGGGAGCATATCAAAGTTTTTTTTTTTTTCAGTGAACAAAGTGAAGTGCAAGTTTTAGTACTTGAACTAGTTTACTTACAGGAAAGGGTCTTGCAATTTTCAAAGTTTTAACTAACATATATATATATATCTTGTGGCTGCAGCTGAGGGTAGCCAGAACAAGGCCCTCGATGATCTAAAACAAAACGAAGTCTTCATTAGAGAAAGCATTCCCATTTGGGTAGCAGCCATTGGATATGTCCTCCTCGCCATTATTTCCGTGATTGCTATTCCTTTCCTATTTCCTGAGCTCAAGTGGTACTTTGTCATTGTAGCTTACATTTTCGCGCCATCTCTAGCCTTCTGCAATGCTTATGGAGCTGGTCTAACTGATATAAACATGGCGTATAACTATGGTAAAGTAGCTCTTTTTGTGCTGGCCGCATTGTCTGGTAAAGAACATGGCTTGGTGGCGGGGATGGCAGGGTGTGGTCTCATCAAATCGGTTGTCTCAGTTTCTTGCATTCTGATGCAAGACTTAAAAACCGGTCATCTCACTCTCACATCCCCTCGCGTAATGCTCCTGAGCCAGGCCATTGGCACAGCCATAGGATGTGTGGTAGCTCCTCTGAGCTTCTTTCTGTTCTACAAGGCATTCGACGTGGGCAATCCAAATGGAGAATTCAAGGCTCCTTACGCTGTGATATACAGAAACATGGCGATTCTAGGCGTTCAAGGCTTCTCAGCATTGCCTCAGCATTGTTTGCAACTCTGTTACGGGTTCTTTGCCTTTGCGGTGGGAATAAACCTGGTGAAAGATTTTTCCCCTCCCAAGATTGGGAAATGGATGCCGCTACCGATGGCCATGGCTGTGCCATTTCTAGTTGGCGCCTACTTTGCTATCGATATGTGTGTGGGGAGTTTGGTTGTGTTCGTATGGCACAAACTTAACCCCAAGAATGCCGAGTTGATGGTCCCAGCAATTGCTTCTGGTTTAATCTGTGGTGAAGGACTGTGGACCCTTCCTGCATCAATTCTTGCTTTGGCTAAAATAAAGCCTCCCATCTGCATGAAATTTCTAGCTTCTTAGTAAAACCTCCATTTGTATTGTTCGGGGGATATAAGAATTGTATAACTTACAACTACAAAGGTATAAAAAAGGTAACTCGCGTGAGAGTTTGAAATACATTGTTCCACCTCTTTCTTAGACTTATCCTGTGATCCCATCATGTGTTGAAAACGCCATCCGTTGGACTTAACTGATGGCTGCTGACTCTGTTTTTAAACTTAATTGTACATTATTTATGCAGCAGGTTACATGGCTTATGCAACAACCGTGCATCTGTTACGCAACCACCATTTATGCAACTAAAAAATTTCATGCCTATTTTTGTCATGCTTATTTAAATTGGCTGTTACTAGCGGATCCATATGTAATGACCAAAATTCTACAAAATTCGTTCTTTCGAACAAAGTGACCAAAGCTAGTCTAGGAGGACTTACTGGTAACAGAAAATTATTGGGTTTTCTTTAGTAATCAGTACGCACCCACTACGAAGTTAATATAGATGTTGGAAGAATTGTAGTCAATCAGACATTTTCAAGATGAATAAGAAAAAACACACTGCAAATCAATCCCTTAAAGTAATAGATAAAACAAAGAACCACAGCCCAGCAGGGTTGAACTAATTTTGTATGAGACGTGACGTAGATAATTCAACTGCAGCAAAGATAAAGCAACCAAAATAACCATTATGCGTAGATACTGTGTTACAAAATTTACAATTCTGAGAGCAGAAAAGGCCAAAATAACCATTCTGCACAAATCAAGAAGAGAGATTACAAAGACGACAAGGGGATATGGTTTTTCTATAGTTTCTCTCCAAGAACAAAAGATGACCAAAAGCTACAATGATTTTGAAGCCAAAAACAAATTCTATCCCTCTTAGTAAAACTCTACAGCCTTTAACATAAACTTCACTAGTTCAAAGCTCCCTATTGTAAACTGAAAGTGCCCCTTTTAAAGATGTTGCCTCCACTGTGCACTACATACATGGGCATAGATATAAATATTAGACACAATTCTCCAAAGCATGAAGTTCCATCAACCTACATGTGTCTTGGGATAATCATTCTAAGATCAAAATTTTAAAATACATATATATAAAAGCATATGATCCCCAGTTTTCAAATTTCATACAAAGTGAAAAACAAAAACACTCTAAAAATACGTTGAGCTAACATTTTTCTTATTTGACAATAGTTAGAAAAGGGCCAAAGTGAAATGCTCACTAGCACACTCAAACATTTATCAAGAAATTTGTTTTTTATTTTCAAAATTATTGAGACATGACCTAGGGTGCCAAAGTTTTGTTACCTTGAAAGCACAAAGATGCACTGATGTAATGACAACTATGGTCCTCTAGCCCTGGTAACAATAGCATCCTTTAGTGTATTATTCTCATCTAGTATGAGATCAAGGCCAATCTGGGTACACATCTCATGTGGATCCACCTGCATCCAAAACATTTAAACATATTTAGATATAAATAAAGACATATTAAAGTGGGTTATAAAATTCAAACCCTATCCAAAATGCACACTAACATCTGTCAATGCGAGGGATTGACCACCATTCCAACGCTGCATAAACCTTATCAAAAACAATCCGCAACTCTCCCTAAACAGAGAAGGAATTAAATCAGAGAAAATAGAGTATACATAAAAAGCATTATTAGAACCAACATCCATGAAAACATTGCATACCCGTCCAGCTGCTTTGTTACTTTAACAATGTTAGTTTTACAGTCTGGCAACTTCTGGCCAAATGCAACTTCGAGGAACCCTTTCTGCAGTTCCAAACAATACCAAAATTTGAAGACCAGTATTGAATTTATGCAACCAATAAAAATAGCTTCATCAAAGTTGACAGACCATGATTTGTGCATTTTTAGAAAATTTTGAGTATTTCATTGAGTCCAAATAGTCGACAGTTTTGGACTCAAGATCAACAACAAAGAGGCACCAGTGATGGTTGATACAAGATGGGAAAAAAAACTGCAAAAGACAATAAGGAAATAATTCGTTTGAGATAATGGACTATTCATCAATCTAATAAATTATTAGTGTAGACCATGACATTTACCTTTCTATACTGTCCTAGGTTATCTCTTTCAGTCCGTAGCAAATTGCAATAATGCTCCCATTCTTCCTCATATGCCCTTTTAGTTCTTGCAAACATCCTACACTTTTCCAGTAAATGGGGCTGCATACGAAACATCTGTTAAGGAGATTTGATTATTCATAAAGGGAGAACTGCTACATGGTTCATTCGTGTCAAGGATAGATGATTAATATAATGAGTACCACAAGCATAGTGTCAAAAATCCATTTGCTCCGGTTTTGACCCTGGCTGGCCATTATCACTGCCCCAACCATGTTAATAACCTATTTAATTAGAATAGGTCATTATGTTAGTTTTGATAACATTTTCATGCTAAAGTATGATATTTTTTCATGCTAAAGTAGAGTCTTGTACACACCGGGCTAGTAATCCACTCATTGCTGAATAATATTTGAATGTGAGCTCGAGTGATGTGATGGCCATGCATATCCACAATAATTTCACTGTAAAATCACAATACAACCACATTATAATTGAAAGAAGAGAATTATTATCCGTGTTCAACGGTAAATAGAGAATACATACACTTACCTTTTGTCTCCATCGGTACATGTAATGTACTTCATAAACTTCCAGTTCTCTTTTTTCAGTTGACCACTTAATTTTTTCTTTGCTTCACTAACCCAAGGGGGCCTCTTGTACTTTGACGGGTTGATAGTGCGAAGAAGTCTAGGTGATGACATGGCTTCGTCAACTAGTATTATCTGTGATAATTGCTCATCGTCCCCCTCAACCACTACAATATCAACACCGGGTGCATTTTCATCTTGCCCATGAACCCCCTGTGTATCATCACTATGGTCAAAAGGATCCTCCCACCAAACGTTGACACTACATCCATAAATTTACCAACCAGCATTGCAGTTACTCTAGTATCCTACAAGATAAAAAGATATCTAAATCAAGTATGTGTACAAACAATCCTAGCAGTTCTCAATCTTAGTCGATTTGACTAATTCCCTACCCCAGACATATTAGTCATCTTTGGCTCCTTATTCTTGTTTGTCCTCTTGTTCGAAACATATTGACAAGCCTTGTACTTTGCCGTGTCATCCTCATAGGCTAAGCTATTTCGCTCCTTCTCCTCCTCAGTCATCTCTTTACAAACCTTTGCTGCAACCTTGTTAATTTGGTTCAAGTCATAACCAAACTCTTCTTTATGGTCTTGAATGTCTTGCGTCCTGTAAACAATGTAACTAAATTATAGAATAACACCAACACCCCGCCGCGCCCCCCCCCCCCCCCCCCCCACAACAAAATAAAAAATAAAAAATAAAAAAATAAAACCAAAATTTTCATACAATATTTCAATATACATGAGATAACATGAACATTACTTGAATCTTATATATTGTGTGGGCGGCCGCATGCCCTTTTTTGATGAAGTTCCATCTACGTCATTGGAGGGAGCTTTCCTTTTGGCCCTCCTACTCCTAAACTTCATTTTCTAATGGAAATCTACATATTAAGTGTTGAATGAATTAGAATAAGCACAAAAGAAACTATACACCCTTGCATTTGATCATTAGAGTAAATGATGCAAGTGTTACAAAACTAGAATAATTAAAGAAATTTACGCCTAAGAAAGGAAATGTTGCAATATTGGATTGTGTTGCATATTTGATATAAATAATAAATGTAAAGCTAAACATGGTGGAAATGTTGTACCTTTTACCATCAATGATTAAAGATGGTAACTTTAATATACAGTTTCTTGCTCTCTTGGTGGAAATGTTGTACCTTTTATCAAGGTTGTTAAAATAGGGATTCTACGTAGAATCATTTTGGACAACAAAAAAAAAAATTGAACAATCTCAATTCTCCAAGGCTCAGAGTAGAAATTTAAATTTTAAAAACAGAACATAAACTTTGGAAAAAAATTTATAAATAAAAGAGTATGGAAGTTAGAACATCAAAAAAATTGCACAATCTCAATTCTCCAAAGCTCAGAAGTCAAAACAGCAAAATATTTTTGCACAGAAGCTGAACAAAAACGTATGGAACAAAATCAGAACCAAAAAACAATTGCACAGAAGTCGGAACAGAAGCAGAACGAAAAAAATTGTACAGACGTAGAGCAAAAATAAAAATTTAAAACTCAAAAACCACGAACTAAAAACAAAAAAATAAATTCATCAAATACCCACGATGCATGATACATATCAAAACTGTTAAGAAATCAATTAATCTATTTACCCAAAAAAAAAAGAAAAGAAAAGTGGTGAACAGTAGAATCGTGTAGAATTGTACAATTCTACCCAAACGAACTATTTTCATACGATTCAACTCGTTTTTGGGGTCTAGGATCATAAAATCGTGCGATTCTACGACCTAGAATCGCAATTTTAACAACCTTGACTTTTATTCAGGAAATCTTGGAGGTAGATATAGAAGATGAGAAACAATTGGATGATAGCCCAGAATACTTCTCAGGTACTAATTGCCAGTACTAAACTTTTTATTATTGATTTACTAAAAATGTTTCACCTATAGAAGTTGGAATTTAATGATTTGTTGAATTGAGTTGTTGATTATTTTCCCATTTCATGGAAGATATGCAATTTAGGTGTCAATCTACATGATAAACAATATATAAAAGAGAATAGCTGAAGAATGTTTGAACAGTTGAACTTGGTAGCTGCATTGTGTGACTGTTGGAATAGATACTTGCGATCAGTTTTATGCATTTTTGACCCATGTATGAAATTTTTGTTGTGGCAGTGTGGCACTGCTTCAGGTTCTATATAGTTACATTACAAAGGATCTGTACCATGCTTTTGCCAAACCTGTTAATAGGTGAGCTTTAACAAACCATGTTTTTGCTGATTCTAAATTTCTAATTTCAAAGCTAACAAATGGAGTCAGGAATTGTACTATATGAATGAAATTATGCAGGAATTGTGCTCTGTTTTGGGAGGAAGATCCATGTTGCTGGTGAATTTGAACTTTTGAAAAAAGAATCGAACTCCCCATGATTTATGCTGAAAGGATGCAGTGTGAATGTGCATTAGTAGCAGAAGAAGTGAATCAGAAGAGCCAGAACACTATGAAGATGTCACAATATCAAATCATTAGAGTGGGAAAAACATCAATAAAATGTTATGAATAAATAATGAAGAGAAGGATAAAGATTGACTAACAAACAGGTGGCACTGGATTGCATTAAAAATCAGTTTGATTGATTGAGTCTCATCTTTCGATCTATGTTTTCAGTAGTAATTCAATATATTTGCTAGGGCTAAAACAAAAATATTATTGATGGTGATGAAGATGAAATTCTTTCATATGGCTGAATTTTTTACATTGCGGGCCTATAAAACAAAATCAACAAAAGAAAAAAAAAGAGAAGGAACTCATTGCATCTACCGAACTAAATGAAATGAAGGTTTCTGTAATCTAAGTATGTCAGAACTCAAAATAATAATAATAATAACAATAGGATTAGCTCCATCTCAAGATGGTCACTCTAAGTCAAATCTTCCAGCGGAACATCATTATGATGGTATTAATCATTCAATCTCAACAGCAAGATACGATAGGAGCTAAAAATAGTTTTTGCCTTTCAATTAACAAGATATGATAAACCAAAAAAAACATAAACCCTAGATTCCATGGTGTGTGATGTTTGCCGATGATACGTGCTCTTGGATACCTCAAAAGAGAACTTAGCAATAAAACTTACCTCCCCCGTGTTTTGGCATATTATACTTACCTCCCTATGTTTTGGCATGTTATAGTTACCCCTTCTAAGTGATGAGTGCTAAAGTTTGTTATCTGAAATTACCCTTATGCCCTTATTAGTATATAAGTATAAGTTTAACTAAAAATGATCTAAGGGTAGTTTCATCATATAAATCTTCAAATTTGGTCACATGAGCATTGATCATTGCTAACGGTAGGGGGTATTTGTTACAAACGTGCAAACTAGAGGGGGTTACAGTAATATGCCAAGACAAAGGGGAGGCGGGTGTAACAAACCCAAACTAGAGATGTGGATAAATGCTTTAGAATTGAAAGGATTGAGGGCTATGAAGCACAAACACTCCTCCCAGAGGTTCCGTACCAATGTCGGACACTTTTTGGACACGGACATGTGTGTCCAAGGCTCGGACACGTGTCCGACACTTCTGTGAGGTGTCCAGAAATTATTTTTTATTGGACACGGGGTGGACATGGCTCGGACACGCGGAGGACACGGGGTGGACACGGCTCGGACATGGTAGGGTATATTTTGTAATTTTTTTAAAGATAGGACACGGCGAGGGACACGGTTGGGTATATTTTGTAATTTTTTTTTAAGATAAATGGGGTACCTAATGTAATTTACTAATTTTAAAAGTTTAAAAGTAAAATTTTGAAAAAAATAAAAAAAAACAACTTCAAACAACAGAGTATTACACAGAAAATTTATTTTCTCTTACTTCCTCTCTTAGTCTCTCCTCTTCTTCAATTATCTCTCTACATGAATAAGATATTTTTTTTTAATTACATAAACAAGACTTTGTGAAAGACTGAAAGTATATATGTTTATTCATGTACATATTTAGCCCATTATAGCTATGTCTCTTTTGCACATCTTCGTTTGGAATTTGGTTCAACTTTATTTTTCATTTATTTTCTATTTTGTCTTCTCTATGTTTTCTTATAACAGAGATTAAATTATTGAAATTGGTCCTGTTATTTGTTGTTGTTTTATTTGCAATTTTGTATTTATATATACCTGTTTGTTATTAAGAAAATGAATATGCAAGGTTCTAGTAATTATATTTTGAACATATAAATATATATATATATATATATATATATATATATATATAATTTTATTGGCGTATCCACGCTGTGTCCGTGTCCTATTTTTTTGAAATTTATCGTGCCGTCGTATCCGTGTCCGTGTCCGTGTCCGTGCTTCATAGATTGAGGGTTAATAAAACTAAAACCGAGTACATACAATGTGAATTTAACAATGAGTTGAATATTGATTATATAATGATAGCACTTGATAATATAATGATAGCAATGGAAAATTTTCTAGGACCGTTATTAGACTAACTATGTTGTATGGGGTGTTGGGAACTAAGAAATGAGCAAGAACAACCCCTCATGCAGTGGAAATGAGAGTGTTAAGATGGATGTGTGACTAAAAGAGATAAGGTACCTGATGAAATTGTGAGAAAAAAAGATAGGCGTAGCACCCATTGGTGAGAAAATTTGAGAGTAGATTTAGATGGTTTTGCCAACCCATGAAATGAGGAAGACTAGTGATAAAGAAAGAGACGGAGACGGCGAACATGGAATGAAGTCATTAAAAATAACTTAAAACATTTAAATATAGTTGGGGATTCAAAAGTAACATGAAATGAAGTTATTAAATTTATTAAATTTTTTTTTTTTTTTAATTGGTATTCACACACTTTCTTCAAGAAATTATTTGCATCTAGCATGAATTTGAATTGATCCTAAAACCCGATACTTCATGAGAAAACTCGAGCCCAAGTCTTTTTCAATTGAAGTTATTAAAAATACACCAAACAAAACATATTTGGGGAAATGGCAAACGAATAGGAGAGGGAGAATTCATATAGCCGACCCAATTCATATGAGGTTGATGAAGATGAAGAAACCCTAATCATGTATAACATTTTAAACATGAAGAATATGTACAAGATCAAACACAACATGCAATATCTATTAAATCAATGTATTTTGATTGACAAGAAATCTTACAATCCGAAAGAGAGTTTTTCAAATTGGTTACTCGTCTTTGTTGTTCCTCGCCGGGGAAGAACACTGTTGACGAACCCAAGAGAGAGTTGATTTCAAAGAATGAATCCAAGAGGAGAGAGAGAAAATGAGAGAGAGGGAGAAGAGGAGATTGATTTCTGAGAAAGATAATTTCAATTTACGCTACACACACAAAAATATTCGACTCGCGAGGGGATCCTGATCCCCATAAACAATTAGAAACACAGCATGCAGCTACGCTTTTGGGTACTATCGGTACTCTACATTCAAAAGTGCCCGTCTAGCTCAGTTGGTAGAGCGCAAGGCTCTTAACCTTGTGGTCGTGGGTTCGAGCCCCACGGTGGGCGTTGTTCAAAAAATTTTTTCCCTCCTTTTGAATAAAATAATTTTGTGGGCATGAAAAATGAATTAACAATGATTAAAAATTTTTGTCTAATAATTTTTATTTTATGGGCATGAAAGTAGTATGATATGAGATATTAAAAAATATGCTTTTATTTGGTAACAACTACTCACCATTTCTGTGTGACTAATACAGTTATAGTTATGTATCCAATATTATATGTTTGAGAAATGCAACTCAGATTGTCCCCAAATAAGCGCTTTTTCCATTATTTTGACCTTCTGATGCCTTTTTGTGCTCCACTTTTTCCCTTTTTGGTCTTTTATTTCTTTCTTATTGATTTATGAAGCATTCTATATTTGATTCATCATATAGCCACCTTCTCCACCTTGTAATTTTTTAATTTTTTTTAACAGCCTGGTATTTCACACACACACACACATTTATAGTATTGCACTGCTATAAGAACCTTATTGGAGAAGATGAATTCTAATCAACAAAAGTTGAAAGAAAAAGACAACGATTCTAGGATTGATCTTCCAAAGGTGGGAAAATATGAAATCCTAGAACTAATCCTATGATGTGCCAAGAGGACATAATCTGGCAGAGATGAAACTCAAATTCATTTCCAATTTGCTTATGCATAAAAACATGTTCTTCTCATTGCAATCAAAATTTAGGTGAGATCAGTATTGACAATGCAAATAAGTGGTTGTTGGCTAGGTAACCAACCCTGTCAACCTACAGCCCTTTTCAGCTCAACTCCCAGCAAACAACCTTTGTACCCATCTTTTTATCTTCATATATTTAAAACCCCAAAGTACCATAATACATCATCCTCCATTATTCAGCCTTTAGAAGTATCAACATTGTGATCTAACCCCCTTATATTGAAATGGCTAGTGGCAAATCCCGGGAAGATGAGCGCGCAGGAGCTGAGATTATCCATGGATCGGAAGAGTGCTATCGCCATTCAGTGAAGCTCCTTGAAGAGCTGGGATTTCCAAGAGGTGTCCTTCCCCTCCAAGACCTTGAAGAGTGTGGAATAGTTCACAAGACCGGATTCGTGTGGATGAAACAGAAGGCTCCATACGAGCACTTCTTCGTGGGGACAAATAACCGCGTGAGCTACGCCAAGGAGGTGACTGCACACGTAGAGAAGTGCAGAATGAAGAAGATGACTGGTGTTAAGAGCAAGCAAATGTTTCTGTGGGTGCCCATAGTTGAAATGTGCATTGAAGACCCTGCAAGCAAGAAAATTAATTTCAAGACTCCAATGGGGATCGGAAAGTCCTTCCCAATCACGGCGTTCATGGAGGACGAAGAGAAGAAGAAGTACCTAGAGAAGGTCGATGAATGAAAGTGGCTATACATGATACAACATTGTTTTGAATGTTCAAGCACTTTTTCTTTTATCTGGTTATTGTGTATTGGTTCTGTTTCTGTCACAGTCACTACTTATTTGAATAACATCTGATTGACCTTGGGGTTTTCATTTAATAAGATCAATTATCTGAAATGCTGCTAGCTACACCTTTTCATTGGAGTTCAATATCTTAATTTGTAGATTTGATCTTTTTGTTACTTACTAACTTTACAAGTCTGAAATGGCCCTGTAAAGTAGCTAGGCTTTTGACAAAGATCAAACCATTTTTTTTTTTTTTAATATAATCAAAATCAGTGGTCCATAAAACCAACTTTCTTCATATAATAGACTTAATAGGTAGTGGCATTCATTTGAAAGCAGCACAATGTTTATACATGCATTTTGTGGTTTCCCAAAATTTCCACCATTCTGCAACCTCAAATCTTAAAAGTATGTCACATGACACAGTTTTATTTAACAAACATTATAGGCTGTAAGATATTTCTTTTCTTTTTCTCTACCCCTATTATATAAATGAATGAAGTACAAATTTGTAATGTGTGGCCAGAGTGATAAAAAGATTCAGGTGTAAAGTTCTCTCATCCTACTGTTTCTAGGTTCAATTACCCCTTCTCCCAATTAACTTATTAACTATTGTCCGGCTAAAAAATAATAATAATAATACAAATATGTACAATAATTATTATTAGCTCTCTCATAATTAATGGGGCTCATACGTACTAAATTTTCTTATACGGAGTAGGATGATTAAAGTAATAAATTCTTTTAAACTTCCTATCTACACGCATTAAAAAGAAGACACATGTACATAATACTAATTGTAACAATTTTAAAAAACTAACACACACATATTTTTTACTTAAGAGTTGAGATATGAAATTTTTTATTGGTCAAAGCATGACACAGCTTAATTAATTAATAATACACCATGAATTTTTTTCATCTCCAATTTAGAAAAGTCAATTTAGATATATATTTTATTGGATTGAAGTACCAAGTAACCTATGATCTGAGACTATTTTAAATTTTTTTGATTACAATAATATATAAAATAGGAGGAGTGCTAGCTCATTGGTTGAAAAAATTAATCCCGACAATCAAGGATATATCTCCTTGTAAATATAATTGGAAGAAAGTTTTCACCATCCATTTTATTTTATTGCTCAAAGACCAATATACAGTAAAACATTTTTTTTTTTTTTTTTTGGTGGTGTTAAAAGAGGGGAATATATATATTTTTTAAATTTTTGTCTAAGGGCTAAATAGCATTAAATTACTTTTTACTCGATTTTATAAGAGGGTAGGAAAGTAGTGTCGGCACTCAATTGGTGACGTGGCATCACCGGTTACGTCCGATTCCAACTACTCATGGGGAAGGAGTTAGAAGACCCATTGCAGCAGCCCCACTTATCTACCGGTAGACAACATCCCACCAATGGTGAGAGCCTGCATAGGCTCTGCAGCCCCTCTTGCCTCCTCACGACTCCCATATCCGCCAAAGCTCACACCAAATAATACCCTCCGCCTCCGCTCCGCCGTACACGCCACCACCACCACCGCCGCCACAATGCCCGACCACCACCATCCCCACCCGTCGCTCGAAGTTGTCGGTGGAGCTCTTAGCTCTTTCCTCCCCGCATTCACAACTCTGAACCGTCCGTACAATCCCTTTCCCCTAATTGGATGGAATCGGCACGTCGAGACCATCTTTGCCGCCTTCTTTCGCTCTCTCCCGGACGTCAGATTCAGGCGTGTGTGTCTCAGGACCAAGGATGACGGCGCCGTCTCCCTCGACTGGGTCTCCGGCGACGACGATCAGCTACCGCCCGATTCCCCTGTCCTCATTTTACTTGTCAGTGTTATTTTCTCCTTTCTGTCTTTCTATTTCTAAAACACAAACACACACACTCTGAACATTTTACTAGACCCCATATAATTTGAACATTATCTGGGTTTAATTTAAAGAACCTGTTTTGAATTGGTTGCTAGTATTTGACGAATTTGGGACTTGTTGTCAATTGTGAATTAAAGTTGGTAATTATGTGGTAGTGGAGATATGGTGCTTATAAATGGATAGTTGCAGCCAGGTCTAACTGGAGGGAGTGAGGATACTTACGTGAGGCATATGCTGGTTAGAGCCAGAAGTAAAGGATGGCGAGTTGTGGTGTTCAACAGTCGTGGCTGTGGAGATAGCCCTGTGATCACACCTCAGGTACCAAGTTGATTTTGATCAATTTTTTTAAAAAAATTGAATTGATCTTAAATATGGGGTTTTCCTTCCAAACTTGGAATTCATGTAATCAAATTCATTTGAATCGGTTCAACCATTAGTACTAAGTACTAACCTTCTACATATAGTAATGGTTTTCGGGGCGGGCACAGTAACATGAATTCAAAATAATTTCATTTTGAGCATTGCTATTGCTGAGATCTAATGAAGAGCCTTGAGAAACCATGAATTTATTTGCGGATATTCTTCTTATATTTCACATAATTTTCTTTAGAATAATCAAGTTGCGTACTTAAAGTTCAATGAAACATTTACATGTTTTGCAATTTACTTCATAACACTGGCTGATATGCAGTTCTATTCAGCTTCATTTATAGAAGATCTTCGTGAAGTCGTGACACATGTTTCCACTCGGTACCCAAAAGCCAATCTGTATGCTGCTGGGTGGTCTCTTGGAGCAAATATTCTTGTTCGATATCTGGGTCAGGTAGGATTACTAAATTAGCAATGTTTTTTTCCTTTTCCTCTTACACTGTTATACTCTCTGGGGCCAATTTGTATGTTGTTGGTTGAAGTAATATCAATTGATTATCATCCCTGTCTTCTGTGGCTGAAACTGTTTATCCATGTGCAAGGCACTTGCTTTTTGTTAGCATCTCATTACTGAAAGTAAATATGTCCTTGTTGGTGTCTGAAAATTTTAATTTGAGTTAGAAAATGAGTTTTTGTTGTTTCTTAGGTAGGTTTCATGGTTGTTGATGTTGTGTCTAAGTTGGCATTGGCGCACCTTTGCAAATTTATGCTTTCTCTATAAGGGTTCTTTGCATATGTTGCTCCTCCAAAAGTAACTTCTACCGTTAGCTTCTAATTATTTTGTAGTGTTAGGACCATGGTTTTGAATATTGATTAATACTGTTACATAGCACCTGTCATGCAATGATATCCTTAAGTTATAGGCTAATATATTAGTGGGTGTGAAACTAATAGCTGCTGTGATTTACCTTTATGGTCTTGCATTGGCTGTCACTCTTCTTCATTTTTTTTTTTCTTTTTTTCTTTTTTAAGTGTTTGTAGTGTCATGCATATAGGCTGTTATGACTCATTAAAACAGCTGAATTTTACACTAACTTGAAAACTTCTACAATTCTCATTCTTCTCATTTTTTTCAACTCTTCTTACACTTAAAAACTAGGAAACTTGATTTTTGCATTAGAGTTAATTAGAGTTTAACTTTAGTGTATCTATATATAAGTTCAAATTTCTAGCTTGAAGAAACATAAAAGTTGCATCATATTATTGGAGGTAGATCATTGTATATTCAGCTAATCATCTGTATCATTAAAGGATACTGACTATATTAACTCTATGATTTCCCAAGTTTGTTATGATTTAGTCATAAAACTGATAAGAGATCAATAAGCAAAGTAACTTTTACCAACATTAATTGAGAAACTATCCAGTGAAAATGCTAGTAAGAAAGCAAATTTATTAATAACCGTTATAATATTCAATATTCGTATCCAAATATGTTCTTACAGGTCATAAATTAACTGAAGAAATATAACAAACTGGACTTGTAATATTCAACATTTCAACCATTACTGCATGTAATACCATGACCAATACGAAAATTTAAAACTTTGGTTGGGACACCTACAAAGCTTTAACCAACTCCTATAAATTACTGTATGATAAGAAGAGAGGTGACAATGTTTTACTGATGTTTTCGACTTGTTTTTAAATGTTTAATTCCTGTGATTCTCTTATATGCATATGCTTTATGTCCAATCTGTCCTGCATTCCTTTGTAGCCAAAGGATTTTTTAGGGCAACGGGAAAAGCTAGAAACAAAATGGGTGTGAACGGAAAATGATAGGTTGATTTCAGGCTCAGTGGTAGCTGTTTCTTAATTGAGGAAAGGAATCTAGTCTAGCTGAAGATGTTGCATTAGAAGAGGAATGCTAGTGGATAAGCTGACAGCAAATAGTCGAGATGTTGGCTTGAGAACACTTAATTTATTTATCTATTTTTCCGGATTGAGGATTGTTTCTGCAACAGTTTCCTTGGTAATATGCTTCATAACTTGGACCTTTGGGTCAAAATAATGAGCTAGTTTAATTATGTTTTGTGGAGCTCATTCTGAGGAGCTATTCATAAGGACTGGTTTTAGTTTACTCTCTTTTCTCCAAACTAAGTTTCTGTTTCTTTTCAATTAATAATTCTGGGTCTTCTTTTCAGGAATCTCATACTTGCCCTCTCTCTGGTGCTGTATCCCTTTGTAATCCTTTCAACTTGGTCATTGCCGATGAGGATTTCCATAAGGGCTTTAACAATGTTTATGACAAAGCTCTTGCAACTAGTCTCTGCAAAATTTTCAAGAAGTAATTTTGTAATGATATGGATGTCTTTATTTCAGTTACCATATGTTAGAGTTGATCTCTTTTTTGTAAATTGTTTCATTGAAACCTCTTGTTTTCATAGGCATGCTCTTCTATTTGAAGACATGGGAGGTGAATATAACATTCCAATGGTTGCCAATGCGAAGTCTGTCAGAGAATTTGATGAAGGACTTACCCGAGGTATCTATTTTTTGTTTTTTTATAAGTATTTATTTCTTGTTATTGAAAATGAAATTGTTCCTGCACTGTTGCGTGTGGCTATTCACAGCATTTTCTGTACTATCTTGCAGTTTCATTTGGCTTCAAGTCAGTGGATGACTACTACTCCAACTCAAGTAGTTCAGATTCCATAAAAAACGTGTGCACTCCTTTGCTTTGCATCCAGGCAATATATCTTTACCTTTTATTATATTATTTTAAAAAGTTAGTTCTGATACTCAACAATCTATAGATTATTTTGACAATTTTGAGCTTTATTAGCTTTTGTAGCAAATTAAATCATTGGACATCTATTAATTAAATCTAGGGATAATATGGCCTAACATAAGCTGTGTTCATTTGTAAGTTTTGGCAGTTTTTGCCTCCATTTTTCTTTGAGTAGTTCAGAAATCTTTTTCCTCCTTTTTTCCCTATTTGTCTAATTATTACTTGCAGCAATGCTTGGGTATCAAACTGAGCTACTCAACTTGTTTTGGGCTCTTATTGTCGTTGTCCCAGCTCAATTATTCTTTAGTTTCAAGTGCTGTAAAGTATAACTGGACTTGTAGGGCCTATTAGAATTGCCTCTTTAGGTTGACTTGTTTTGGAAGGCCAAACATATGATGAAATGATGAGGTCTTTCGTACAGGTTATGTCATGTGAAGGGCAACCACCGGCTATTTGCTTGAGTGTAGTCACTGACACTCCCAAAGGCGAGTTGCAGTGATTCAAGTTCTGTTGGACACACGCGTGTGTGGGTCATACCCATAAGAAAGGGATGTTCGAATGGCTCAATATTTGTGTGCTATGTTTTCTTTTTTTCTTTACAGATAGAAATTGTCAATGAATATGTTCCTCGAATTAGGGAATATGTTGCATTTCTCAAATGAGTAAAGTGCTCAAATTTTCCTCATGCCTGCATCAATATTTCTCTAAGCCCCTAGCATTTATTGTGCTTTCTAGGAGCCATCATTAATGCTGACTTCATGTGTAACATGGAGCTTTGAAACTGCCAAAAGAGGAAAAAAAAAATGAAAAAGGAGAAGAAGAAGAAAAAGAAGAGGAGGAAATATAGGAAGAAGGAAACTTTGCTTAGCTATTTGTTTGTTGACTTATGGTGGTAGGAAGATCAGTTTTCGTCTGCCAAGCTAAATTAGATATTATTGTTCGTAGCTTAAAAAGTTTATCAGTATTAATAGATAATCTTGCTCATTGTTTGTTGCTTTTGTAAATTGATTTTAACCACCTTTAAAGCCCGGATAAAAGATGCTTTTAATTGCTAGCCACCTTTGACACACAGTTTTTTTTAAAATGAATAATTTATTCCAGAATCCTTTATTTTGATGTTCCAGGCCACCATTACTCTATTGTTTTGGTTTTAAAGCTCGAGTGAGACAACTACTAAAATTTTGTGCAAGTAAAACCTGCACTTGTTCTTTCTACAATAATCGTGATTTCAATTGTTTGCAGGCTGGAAATGATCCAATTGCTCCATCTAGGGGAATTCCTCGTAAAGATATTAAGGTAAATGCAGTGCTTTTAGTTTCAATATATGACTGTCTTATAATCTCATCACTAGACCATAGGATATTCTCAGCACAGGAATTTTCTCCCCCTGATTTTATTTTTGGTGGGTAGTAGCTATTCACTTGCCAGTTATTTCAAATCTGGATCGGGGGAGAGAACTTTACTTTTATTTTCTCTTGCTTGCATGGTCTCATTGATCTGGGCAGAAACATTCAAATCTTAATGGTAAAATAGAACTTCAGATGAAATATTATACTACGACCATCCCATAATAAGTGTGTTAATGTCACAAAATAAGTGTCCACTTTCCTCTTTGAGATGTTCCAAATTTCCAATTCCTTGTTGAGATGTAACAAATAGTCAGTACTATATTTTTCAAATCGACCTCTTATTTTTTTCTTATATTTTTTATTTGGATTTTTAGGTATAACAACTATTAGATATATTTCTCCCTCTGTTATCTTCCCAACTAGAAACAGAAGAAAAATGAGATTTATCCTAATGCAGACTCTCACAAGATGATGGGAAAGATGATTACTTGATGTGATGGTAAATGTTTGGCTGCCAAGCATGGAATAGTGCTCAAATATGAGGGTACATATTTTTATGCAATTAATGTCAAATGTTAGATCAACCCTCGGGTATTCCATCGTTATAAATTTGTACTTCATTGATGGGAGTGGGACCAACATTGAGTATTGGCCTCTTAACCACACATTGACAGAAAAAGAATACGGAGTATAAGTGACTAGAAGTTGCATTTTGAGGGGTCCAAGGAATGCCAACTCGTTACTGCCTCTCATGTTAACCTCAAATATTGGTTTTGTAGCATTGGGTGGATTGGTGGTCTACGATTAATCTCAAATCCCTTACAGCAGTGTGTATGTGCATGTGTGCGTGGTTTTGTAGATTTTCTAAGGGTTAGTAAAATATTTTTAACACTCTTTATCACTTGCTGTTTTCAGGAAAATCCAAACTGTATGTTGATAGTTACACCTAAAGGTGGCCATTTAGGGTGGGTTGCAGGTGCTGAAGCTCCACGCGGATGTCCTTGGACTGATCCTCATGTGATGGATTTCCTGGAACATCTGGAAAGAGAAAGACCTGATGCCACTGCATCTCGCAGTAAATCCGAAGGTTTTCAGCAAATAGAGGGATTGCACCACCTAGAGGTATAGCTAGCAAATGATTTCTAAGAAGGCGACTCAGGCACAACACCAGGGAGGTCCATGCCCTAATAACTTCCAAAACTAGTACCTTTTTTCTGGTTGAATGCGGAGAAATGTACAACTACAGAAGTAAAATTATTGGTAGCTTGTGTGTGTCATAAGCCAATTCTGTATTTGGCAATGGCAAGAAACCTTTTCGGATATTATTCCGTAAATTTCTTATTGATTAAGGGCTTACAACATAATATTACTTTGGCAATTTGAAAGTTTGCATACGCATTTTAATTGGTGAAAACTGTATGTGAACGAGCCTCAGTACTTAACAAATATGATATTGAAAGACGTGGTTTTCATTTGAACACTTTTTAGCACACAATAGTTTGTTGTATTATCTAAGGTCGCCCAACATATATTAGGCGTACATATTATCTATATGTATTTCTTGTAGAAGTTGGATATGTATAAATTACCTATTTGGAATTTCGTTTCTAACCTAAAATAAAATTTATAGAGATAGCATTTCTTCTTTACCCAATATTATACTCATAGGGCTTGTTTTCGCACAATTATTATTTTAAAATTTTTGTTGCAATTGTGGTGTAATGAATTCGAGTGAATATCAGTGTAAATTAGTCGAACGACCGATTCATGAAAGCGTGTAATAATATCGGACCATTAAAAATTAGTTACGAATTTGCCCGCGTATCAGTGGATACCGTACCTGTGTGAAGGGTCGGTTGGATGTGAATGCGCAAAATAAGATTGTCCAAACGCAAACAAACCGAACTATAGGACCAAAATTGGGCCCTCCTTCAAGTGAATTAGGGTTTCGCTCGTTCAAATTTAGGCTCGAGTGAGGCTTTCCCTGGCTGCTATATATATATGAACGTATTACAGTTGGCGTGGGCTTTTTTAATAACAATATTCAGCCCAACGTGCAAACGCAACCCATTTACTCGGCCTTTTTATTCCCTTTTTAGTTTTTTTCTTACATTCGGAATTGATTTTCCCATTCTATATTTTGGTCGTCCCAAGAGAACATGGATCTGGTGCCACCAGAATTCCCAGATTTAGTGTCCAGTGGCAATGTGCAACTATGCAGCTGCCCATATCAGTTCATCCTGTGTGGAGGAACAAAAATGGTGGTCCCTCCACACTCCAACAAATACAGTGGGCAATTCCAGAGCGAAACATAGTATCACTTAGATGGGTGTTAAAAGCAAAGGCTTAGGGCAGAAAGATCAATCGTCAAATTTAGAATGAAATTGGGTTGTGGGCCTTCTGGGTCACCAAGCTTGAAACCCATTACTGTGACAGGCTTACCACGTTGGGCTGTTTTAAGGTTGAGTCTTGCAGGAAGCATTGGGCTCTAAGCCTTAAAAAAAAGTATTAAAGCCGACAGTTCTAAACCCTAATTTCCCAGCCGCGGATATACCCACTGAGAGGACAACTATCATTTACCGAGAGAGAGAGCGGGGAGAGAGAGAGAGAGAAAATGCAGATATTCGTGAAAACCCTAACTGGTAAGACCATCACGCTTGAGGTCGAATCAAGTGACACCATCGACAATGTGAAGTCTAAAATCCAGGACAAGGAAGGTATTCCTCTTTCTATCTCTATAGATATTGATAAATATCTTCCCCACTCTCTCTATATTATGTATGTGTATTTCTATTTAAATCATAGCTGTTTGCTAATTGATAGGGATTCCGCCGGATCAGCAACGATTGATCTTCGCCGGAAAACAACTTGAAGATGGACGAACACTTGCTGACTACAATATCCAGAAAGGTTAGCTCAAAATTAACTAATTTTTTTTCCAAATATTGTAATTCTTTAGCGTTTGTAGTTTTTATATTTTGTCTGTTATAAATTTGTATAATCGGATTTAATAAAATATGAAAACACTGTAGAATCAACACTCCACCTGGTGCTGAGGCTTCGTGGTGGGATTATTGAGCCTTCATTAATGGCTTTAGCAAGAAAGTATAACCAGGACAAGATGATCTGCCGCAAGTGAGTTCAAGGATATATTTTTATCGTGTTATTACATTATTTGTTCAGTAGCCGTTAATGCATGTAGTTATCAATCTTAAAACATTTGAAAGCATGTTGCCTCTGAACATCTTGTAATGAGTAATCCATGTAAAGAGTAACATTTGAAAGCATGTTGCCTCTGAATGTCGCGTAATGAGTGAATCATGTAAAGAGTCTGAATCTTTTTTATTTTTATTTTTTATCAATAGTTTATAGTTATTCTGAATTTCTGTTATGCTTAAAGGAATGATAACAGTTTGATAATGGATTGTTGAATATTAAACTACAACAGGCTATGTTCAAGGGTTGGCATTAATTCTTGATTTTATTGTTATTACTATTTGAAACTTATGGTGAACCTTTATGGTACATGTGTCTCTCCCTTGCATCATGGTGAGGTTTAGGGTCATTTCATTTCCATTGAGGTTGTAGATTTGTATCCATAGTGTACAAATTGAATAGGAAAATGATACTTTTTGCGATTTCTCTGACTAATAACGAAGCCGATCTGATGTGGCAACAGACTGTGTTCCTATTCCCATATTGCATTAAAGGCACAAATCCTTATGTACAAAAATACTCTTTCACCCTATTCTTCCTCATTAGTCATTTTCTTTCCTTTTTTTCTCTCTATATTATAATTGGATTTGCTTTACTAGTTATGGTGACTATGTGGAGTGAATGGAATTTTTTTTCTGTCTTTCGCTAATGTTATACATGCTTAATATGATTTTTATGTAAAAATTTTAAAACAAATGAGAGAGAACATTATGAAGATTCACTTTTTGAAGGTGGGTTCCATTGTTAATCTAGGTTAAGTTTAAGATTTCAATTGAATCTACTCATAACAATTTTAAGGATATAATCTCTATTCCAAAAGATATATTTGATCTAGTTCAGACGAGATTGTGGTTGACCAATGTCGATCTAAGATCCAAGAGGGTTTGCAGTCGCAGAGGTATTGCGATCCATCTAATTCCATGTCTTTGTTCTTCCTTTATGTTGGCGTGGTGATGGTATTTGGTATGATGGCCGCTATGTATGTCTTATTGGATTGCAGGCCTCATTGTTGTTAGAGTCCTATATATATATATATTTTGACTCCTTACCTTTCATGGCTGCTCTTCAAGATCAATTGGTTTGGACAGGTGAAGGAGAGAGGGGAGGAGTTTGTAATTCGCTGGGAAAGAAAGAGCACATATCCTGAATGAGGGTACTATCGTCTTGAACAATTTATATTTTCAATGTTACTGCAAAATTTGAATTATTGGATTGTCACATCAACAATTGGTTTGTGTTCGGTCAAATAAGTTGACTATTGTATCATTACCCAATTGAATATGGAGGCGATTATAAAGTTTAATGATACATGACGTGAATTATTTGACCGAACGCAAACCGATTTGTGGTGTGGCAGTCCGATAATTCAAATTTTGCAGTACATTGAAAAAATAATTTTTTCAACACGAAATTAACTCTCTTTCCCATAACTCTCTCTCCTTCGCCTATCCAAGTCAAGTGTACTAGAATAGCAGTCATGACTGGTAAGGTCAAAAAAAATCCAGGACTCCTAACAACAAGGAGGCCTGCAATCCAACAACACATAGCGGCCACTGCATGAACTACCATCACCAGGTAACACAATGGAAGAACAAAAAGTTGGAATTAGGTGGATCGCACTCCCTCGGCAAAACCTCTTTGGTCTTGGATCACCCTTGGTCGACCACAATCTCATCCGAACTAGACCAAATATATCTTTTGGAAACCTATAATTGTTAGAGTAGATTCAATTGAAACACGAAATTTAACCATGAGACCCACCTTCAGAATGTTTTCTCTCAATTTATAATTTTTTACATAAAAATCATATTAAGCATGTATAACATAAGTTAAAGAAAACAAAAGTTCCATTCACTCCAACAGAGTCACTGTAACTTGTAAAGTAATCTGATTATAACAGAGTAAAAAGGGAAAGGAGATGAAAGGGTATCTTTGTACAAAAGAATGTGTATTTAATGCATTATGGGAATAGGAACACAGTCTGTTGCCACATCAGATTGGATTCCTTCTCGGTCAAAGAAATTACTGAAATTATCATCGTCCAATTATAAATAAAGAAAAAAAATAGATTGGGAAGGTCTATGCAATAAAAAATTTGTACACTCTACATGATGTGTAAGGCTTGGCATGGGGATGGTGATACCAAGTATTAACATGTCAGACACTTTGAGGCAAAACTAAGAGATTCTAGGGTTATGAGTTGTTTGACATAAGAGCGATGTGTGGAACTCCCTTGGATGTCCCCGTTTCACTACTTCTCCCCTTTTTTCTACTTGCTTTAGCCTTTTAAATTACTAGGAAAATAATGTCAAATCTTTAACTAAGAGATTCTAGGGTTATGAGTTGTTTGACATAAGATTGACGTGTGGAACTCCCTTGGATCTCCCCGTTTCACTACTTCTCCCTTTTTTTGTACTTGCTTAAGCCTTTTAAATTATTAGGAAAATAATGTCAAATCTTTAGCTCCAAGTGTTGTCTGACTTATAGAAATTGGTGCTAGGTTATACTTTTCTTGCTTGTATTTATTTACTGTAAGAAGTTAATAGTTGAAATTCATTAAAGTATGTTCTACTAAGCTCATGTTGATCTGAAAGGGATATTTTTAACTTCATTTAAAACAGCAGTTAAACTTCCAATTAGTTTTTCATTTTTTTATTTGTAGGATCTTTTTGCAATAAGATTTGTCAAATTATTTGGTTACTTGATTTAATTAAAATGGAAAATTGTTTTCTTTTCCCTTCATTTTTTCTTTTTCCTTTGTTATATTTGAACACTTAATTTAGATTCATACATTCTAGTGACCAATATTATTATTATTCTTGCTTTAGCCTTTTGCATGCATATCATGTTTTGATTTAAAATTGCAATTTTTGTTTAGGTGTTATGCTCGTTTGCATCCTCGTGCTGTCAACTGCCGAAAGAAGAAGTGTGGACACAGCAACCAGGTTCATTTTTTAAACAGTTTATATGCAGGCTTGACATCCATTCTTACAATGTTTGTCTTTCACCACTTCTAGGTGGGCTAACAGATTCTTCTTTTTATTGTTTTTGGATTTCAGTTGAGGCCAAAGAAGAAGATCAAGTAGATGTGATTATGAAGACATGGCAAAGCGCCTGGTGGTGGGTTTCAAGAGTCTAAAAACTCAAACTAGAATTTAATTTGGGACTTTGCTTCGGATATGTTGTTTTATCACTATATTCCATCTGAAATAATTTTTTGCTTTTCAATCTTGAAATTCTGTCGTAAAACATTTTGTTGCTTTGTCTTTTCATTAGATTTTTTTTATGGAATTCTTAAATTTACCAATGAATTCATTGCTTATTTCAAACATATGGGGTTGTCTCTGCCCATGAGAGTATCACGGATCACCAGTGAGATTGCTCCGTGCTTGAGCTTTGCATATGTGTGATAGCTTCTTTGTTATGTGTTCTACTCATTTTTTATGGTCGCATACGAGGTTTAGTGAATTTAGTATCAAATCTTTGTCCGCTGTAGCAGGAGACTTGTAATCATGTTCCCATCTAATGTCCAAATCCAATGTTCCTGTAGCGAGCTCTCTCCCTTTGCCTCCTGAAACAGGATAGACTGACCGGAAGACCTGTTCTATGACTACTGTTTCCCCCATATTTGCCATTTTTCCCTAAACACTTGCAAACTGCTCTATTAAATTTCCTCTGCTCTAGTTTCCTTAGCTTTGTTATTATTCTGTCATTAACCTTCAGACTAATAATGTGAAAGTGTCTAACTATTATAAGGCCCTGTAGATACACTCTCCTATGTTCCGACTGTCGTATTAGCCTCACAAGGATATACTAAAGCTCTGTATGAAATTCTCCTTCATGGATTAGATGTCTTCAAAGGTAGGTAGCTAGAAATAAGTACCTACTCAGTAGATGTTAACATATAGGATGGATTTCAGCAGGCTCTCAATTTTTTTTTTCTTTAAAACTCTTTGTTGTTAGGAAAATATTTCGTCAAAATTGAGTGGGGTGGTCACAATATATCTAGTGTTTGTTGGGCAAGCCCGTCTAATTTTAATTTTAATTTTTTGAGTTCTAGTTGTGATGCTTGTTTTGGGTGAGTCATCTAGGATACTCTGGCTTGTTTTGGTTGTTCTACTAGTTTTACAATTTGCAGTGAGGTGCAGTGATTGGCTTTATGTATGTTCGGAAATACAGGGGAATCGCTTTGTGGGGAGAAAAAAACCAGGGAAATCTGGTAAATTTTAGGAATTAGATTGAGGATTAATTTGATGTAGACCGAGTTCTGTTGGTGATTTTATTTGTTTCAAAATTTAGGTGAAAATATAAATAAATATATATAAATTGTTTCAAAACTAGAACTCATAACACACTCTCTCTCTTCCTCTCAAATGCACACATAAAGGTGGCAGACATGCTATGCTGCTCCTTCCAAGACTTCTTCCGACCTTTTACATGAATGTTTGTTCATTCTTCTGTGGAAGCTTAATCCTTTGAAAGCTAATTGGAGAGACATCCTTCTCCAACAACAAATTAGTATGATTACCTTCACAGAATCAATCCTTGGGCACGGTGTTGCTGATCAACCGTCAACAGTCCCACCAGTGTGAACAACCAGAGTAGTCAGGAAGACAACTGGACTCAAAACTAGAGTAGTCGGGAAGACAACTGGACTCAAAACTGCTCCAGTTTCCAGATTGTATCAAGGAATCATTAGGTTGTTCTTCCAATTTCAGAACATCAAATTCTTCTCCAAAATACTCAACATTTTCACTACCGCACAACGTCACACCTGTTTCATGGTTGGCCTTCTCTTCTGGTTCATGTTTGGTTTCTGCATTCTCCCGGCAGTCAATTCTTCCTTGAGGATTTCCCATCAGATTTCTTAATCTCTGCAACTGTCCAACATCAATACATCTTTGTAAGTATCTAAACGAAACGTATGTATATGTTTGTGAAGTATTATTATATAGAGTGATACCTGGGTTAGCAAGCACTGGTTCTCCTTCTTTAAGTAGTTGAACTTTGAAGCTAGTGTGTCATAACTGATCTTTAGTCTTTGGTATCTTTGCTCAACTTGCTTGGGCTTCGATCTAGAACGTTTATTCTGGAACCATATTGCAACCTGGCGTGGATGTAGGCCGGTTTTGTTAGCCAGCTCTTGTTTCGTCCGCAGCTGGGGCCTCGACTCTGATTCAAACATGGATTCCAGTTGCTCGATTTGCCGATCACTAAATCTTCTCTTGTTCTTCTTCTTTTGATTCCTAGAAGCGTTTGATAAAGCTGCTTCTGTTGCTGTTGTCGGAGAGTTGTACATTCTTTTTAGCTGGTGTAGTTGTAAGAGTGAGGTTAAAAGAGTCTATAGAGTGAGGATATATTATATAGTCAATTTAAAGGCGTGATTGAAGCATGATCAAGAGGTTAGATCTGTCTTTGGCCTTTATGAGTTGATATATATCAGAATAAAAAGGTGTGTGAATATATTTACCAGCTGTGCAGATGCTGATGTTGACGTTCATATACCCACACTCGCATCTTCATTTCATTGGCACATCTGTTGTTCATTCGTGTGTTTTAATGCTAGATTTCTCCAATTTCCATGGTCATTTGATTTCTACTAGGACGTCCATTACTATGACCAACCGACACACAAACACACACACACACACATATATAAATTCCGAATAAAAACATAATATATAAATTTTTCTAATGATTTTTAGTTGACATTCCAATTCCCCACTTAGCCAGCAAAGATAAAGCTGAAAGAAATAGAAATAAAATGACATAAAATAGATATTTTACTATAAAATTATAGTAGATAATTGTCAGCAGCGGTAGGCTTCCTCTCTTCGTCATTCACTCGAACCAATTTTTAATTTTCTCTACTTCATCAATGTACTTGCGATTTTACAGAAGTTACATTTCTCTCAATTCATAATGCTTAAACCTAATTATCTTATTTATAGAATTCAAAATATTTGAAAAAATATTATAATTCTTTAAAAGTCGACAAAAATTACCACATAACGTACCGACTCTAAACTAAAAACAAAACTTAATTGTTTAAAGAATTTTAGACAAAGAACTTAATTGTATCATATCAAAGTCATAGTGTGTTTAATTAATACTCCGTATCTTGTCTTCATCTTCAAATCGGACACAGACAGTCATATATCTCCTCAAAGATCGATGTGCAGGAAAAGTGGGGACCTAAAATCCAGAAGAAGCGAGTAGCCTGCAATTTGTTGAGAGGCGAGATTTGTGTTTCTATTAAAGGTGGTCTTCCGCAAAAGTTAGTAGATAAGAAAATGGAACATGATTAATCCTCGTCCGACATTTCGTTGACACGTTGTAGCAAAGACTAAGTCATATGAAAATGGATTTGGAAAATGAAGTCAGGATAATTTTTTTATAATGTGCTGTCCTTTCAATCACTGCATGCCACGTCTTGTTTGTCAACACGTAAAACCCTCGTACGTGTTCCTTTCTTTTTGACACACACTTGTTCGCCTTGGCAAAACGTGGCATCATACCTGCCGTTCATCAAAGAAAGCGACTTCCATGAAAATTAAGGAATGGAAATTTTAAATGCACAAAATTATTACGAGTATTAACTTACACTATTCTATTTTATTCTTAAAAAAATTTCAAATATCAGTGTTCAATGCCAAGTGTAATTTATTAAAAATTTTTTTTTACTTCATTTTAACTGGTATTTATTTATTTTGAATAAAAACTTTATGTTTTAAAAAGTCCAATTAATTAAATGAGTACTTACAATCTTAATTGTGTTATAGTCTCTCCCTTACAACATATTATGTATAATCGTGTAGTTTATCAATTTTATGTGTTGTAAGTTGTAACATGTTAAATGTCTTTGTTACATTAAATTTATGTGTTGTAAGTTTGTAATAAGGATAAGAATGTCATGTTTTCAAGCAAACATGATCAATAAATAGTATTACACACTTGCATGTAATTAATTGAGAAGTACTTTTACAGTTGCGTTTACAAATCCTATAATTACACCTTCATTTATAAGATATTCCTGTCTTTATGAAAATTAAAAATATAAAATATAAAATTTTAAGACAAAATTGCCCTTTAACCTTTTCTTATCTTTCTCACTTTATTTTTCTCTCAGTTTTATGAGGTATACATATATACAAACAGTCACATGCACATATATACGTAGTATATATAAATATGAATATATTATTTCTTTCTTTTTGAATTTGTCAAAACGAGTAACATTATGAGAATTAATTATTTTATTTCTTTTTTTAAAATTATATTTTAACTATATATGGTGTAACTATAATCAAAGAACCAGCATAACTAGCAGCCTGTCTATCCTTATTCCATACAAAAGATTAGCCCAAGATAATCCACATCATCCCCTTGATTTGGTTTTGGATTTTGTTTTACCTTTAGGCTATAGCGTGTTTTGAATTTATTATATAATATTTTTCATAATAAAATTATCCAAGGTCTTTAATCCAAAAATCTATTCATAATTTTTGGATTTATTAATTAAAATTCAATTAAAAGAAAGTCGGAGGTGTTCCCTGAAAAAATCTTGTTGGACCCGAGTATTCTGCATGACATGAAATAGAATGGATATGATCAACAATATGATCCAATAAAAGTCTCACTTTTGTAAATCTACAGTTCATCTAATATTCCCCAGTAACAAATGAGATCCGTTCTCTATTGGGCTGTGGCCCAAGTTATTACTAAATTAAAGCTTCTAGCTCTGCATGCTGGGCCGAAGATGCAAAATTAAAATCAGATGCATTTGAACAAGAAAACTTCTAGTATTTATTATCGGGTCATTTTTCGAACGACTTAACTACCAGTCTTTTATTAAATAAGAATGTCTGTGTTTATTCAACTTCGAAAATTGTTGAATACTTCTAAATATTGCCTCTCTCTCCAAATTAGATGTCTATATTTTTATTTTTAATTGTCCCTTTAAAAAGTTAAAATACCATTTCTTATAACATTACCAATTTAATCTTTTTACATTGAAGTTTGAACTTATAAAGTAAACCATCATATCTTGTGGATCCATTATGAACATATTTAATAATTCATTCACTAACAATATAATAATAATAATAACAATAATAAATGGTATACTTTACTAATTTTGATTTATGATTTTATCTTGAATTAGGTGACTAGTTATTTATCAGCTATTTGTGTGTTTTAAAAGTAATTTTTTAATATAGAAAAAGATCTTAATATAGGAAAGCGAGAAAAATAGTAAAACTTACGAATATTGATTCCAAACTAGGGACTAATCTTCAAATAATTAAAATTAGAAGTTACAATTTCTTAAAAAATTTGATTCCTAAAAATGAACATTTAATTTGAGACAGATGAGGTATCTACTATGTGTATTCCGCAGCAAATCCCCTCTTATTTGGAGGGACTGGTTTGGTGCACAAACACGAAGTTGAATACAAATTCCTTCTTGGTATTTTTTACAATCTGTTTTTGGACTCGTGCACCAAAACGACATCATTTTTGTGTACAGTGCACACAATGCATAAGACCACTCTAAACAGAATCCTGGTTCGTAATACTCCCGGTCAATAAATATTTATTATTTTATGTGGCCTTGCATTAAATATGCTTTCTTATTTTGAGGAAATTAAGGCAATCATTAATAATTAATGTAGAGCATTGTTTTTTTTTTTTTTTTTCTTCCCTACTCCTGGCAAACAAGCAAACATTACATAGAAACACAAAACAAATTAGCCTTGGTCAACTCAATTACAGATGAAGGCACTTGCTCTAACACCATATCAGCCTATCAGGTTGGCTAAGATTCCTTAAAATATTTGCAACCGCATGAGCAACAGAATTACCTTCCCGACAAATATGCGAGATGCTCGCCTCCTTAAACCAACTCAGTGCTTCTTTGATATCAAAAATCAAAACTGAGAGCTCTTTCGGAGGAATCACAACACCCAAAACTGCATCAATGAGCCTCAGCACAAGCTGCAGATACAGCAAAAAATGATTTCAAAGACAAGAGAAGAAGAGCAATGTAGAGCATTGTGAAACATTACATCGAGCATTCAAGACTAGAGCAGAGGAGTTTCCTTGGACTATAATGCCCTAATTAATCTATAGACTGAGCCCAAGAGTGACTACAAGCCCATAACGAGGCCTGTTTATATGTGGCCCTTTGTAAGACCAATCTGTCGAAATATACAAGGCCCAATATAATAGGTAGAGTAGTTGGAGAAAAGTGTGAAATTTAAATTGGTTTTAGATATCCCAAACTTATTTAAGTAATTTAAATATCAGTAGTATATAATATGAATTGACAGGCTGTTCAAGTATCTGCGCACTTTTAGGTTTAAAAATGAGCAGTAGACAGGCCCCAAGAAGGTGGTGATGAGATTGTTCCATTAAATATGGGATGGAAACGAAATCCAAGTTGTCGTGTGCTTATGTTTTTGTGTTTCATCAATGTACGTTGTTGGGTTTTGTTTCTAATTTTCTCCCTTGTTTTTGTATTCAAAGAATCTTCTTTCCTCACAATCAAACCCTCAAAAGCTTGGGTGGAGAGAAAGCTATGCACTAAAGGGACGCACCTTTTTCACTTTTCAACTGCTCTTTGCACCTTTTCATATGGTAATTCGCAGGAAAAAGCTATAGAGGGTGTGTTTGTTTTCACATAAACAAATCTATATATCTATATATATATTATCATTTCAATACAGCAGCTTTAACATTATGTTTAAAGTTTCTGAATGAGCCGTTGGACAACAAAATGGCCTCAGTTCACCATGAGTCCATGACACATGGATTTTTTTTTTTTTTTTCATTATATGTTGATTTTAATACACAAAAAAACATTCATAAATATAAAGTTGGAGCATATGGTTTTAAGATTTACAAATCAAATTAAGTTAGAGTCATGTCCATATAATTATGTTAGAGGCTTAAACCATAATTCAGAGAGATTCGGTGGAAGCCAATGGTTCAATTGTGTTGAAGACCCATAACATTCTTTTTTATTTATTATGGTATGGCCATGAGATTCTCATTTCATTTCACGAAGATATATGGCAAAACAATTGTTGGTGAACATATATATATATATATATAAAACTGATTCATAATACACATGAATTAGAGAAATTCGATCTTAATGACTCCTCAAGTCTTATTTTATGGCATAAATCATTTGAATTTAAAGGAGGCTAATTACATTAGGATCCCTATATGATATATTGAAGTGTTTAAACTGTGTGTACTTGAAACTCAAATGTAATATGAACATGAACTGAAATCACTTGATGAAGTAATTCCACATTATGTGAATAAAATGTCATTATCTTTCTTCTTTTTTTCTTTTTCTTTTTGTTTGTCGATGGTGGTGTATCGGACAAATATCCAAATCCTTTTTTGAAGTGACTTAAAAAATATTCGAACTCCAAAATATGAGGTGAGATAATATCAAAACATAATTATCCCTCTTTTCAATTTTAACAAGCCATGTTTCATTTGAAAAGTATATATATATATTCAAAAATACTTTTAAATTTTGAAAAAAATAAAATCAAATGTAATAATTCAACCATTAAATGATAATTGAGAATCTAAATGCATTAAATGAATAACAAATTCAAAGGCTGAAATTTCAGAAAATTAAATTGGGATGCATGAACAAAAAAACAAAAACCAAAAAGTGGACATCTAGCAATTGTCAGAGTCCCTGAAAATAGGGGTGACACCAAAAACTATTAATCAAAATGGGAAAACCTATCGGTATCACTGGTCCTGAGAGCACCTGAATTTTTTTTAGCGAGAGGCAGAGTAATTTATGTCTCTCTCTCTCCAACCCCAAGGAGCATAGTAGTAAAAAGTTGCGCACTGAACGAGGGTTCCCTTTTTCATGTACAACATTTACTATTCTCATTACTGTATTTTACAAACTTATGATAACCCCCAAATATGCAATTTTTATTTATTTATATATTATGTAAAATCAATAAATTAATTAATATTCTGACTCAGCTTTGGTTTGTTTACATTACCATAATCACTTCCCAATCCTACGGCTCAAATAACATCAATATAAATTTATAATAGTATATATTGTGTTAAATGTTGATTATATGGAGTTTGCAAATAAGGGTAGATTTATGTCCAAAATCTCTATATATTTATAAGGGAAGATTTTATTTACCGAAAAATAATAATAAGGATAGATTTTGTTGTTGGGTTGGATTAGTTAAGATTAAGATACTATTATATAGCGATTAGCTGATGGTGTGATTAGGTCATGATGATTTTTGTGGTAGATATTGGATTTGGTTTCAGAGTGGAGAGAGAAACAATAAGGAAGCTAGAGAGAGAGAGAGGGAGCTGAATTCTATATATATTATATGTGTATATATATTGCATGGGTAGAGACTCAGAGAGATGAGTGAGGTGAGAGAAGTGAAATATGAGAGAGAGAATGGGGATGGGGGAGGGGTGGGTGGTGGTCATTTGTGGAACCAACTCATCAAAGATGTAGTTGTAGGGTCGTGGGTGGTGGTCTGTTTCTATGCTTTTATGACTTTGTTTGTCCTTTTTTCACAAAAATAGTTCTTTCTTTCTCCATCCCTTTATTTATCATCTCTATCCTTTCCCTTCTTTCTCTATCTCACACACCCCAAATCATACTTCTTCTACTGTAATCACACAAACCCATCTCTCTCTTTTTTTTTTTCTCTCTCTCTCCCTCACACACACAAATAGTGTGCAAAATACAGTTGAATTACAGGTGAAGAAGAAGTGGAAGCCTTTCTCTATTGAGGGGAATGTTGTCTGGCTCGAGGTCACCAACTAGATCTGATCTATCATCTCATCTCAATTGATCAAACAATTGAGATCGAGAAGTTGTTTGATCATGTGTTTGTGTCTCGGACCAGGCTTCATTCCCCCCAATTCTTGCTTCCATTTTCACACAAATCATCCCTGGTTAAAGGATCTGAAGCTGGGTTTTCTCCTCTCTCTCTCTCTCTATATATATATCTGTTCTAATATGTACACACACATATATATGGATATAGATATATATGTAGGAATTAGGTAATGGGCAAGAGAAGATTGGTATAATGATGAACCATTTTGACTGCTTTTCTGTCACAAAAGAGGGGAAAGCTAGGTGCTATCATCATTACTCTTTTAACTTTTTTACTAAATTTTATTAGTGTTGTTATGTTTCTTTTTGTCAGTCTCTCTAACTCTTTATGATGATTTTGGTCATGATGTCTTCAAGAATCTCCTCTGTCCGTTTCTGAACTGATCTGCTTTGACTTTATTAACATTCATCATTACCTTATGATTTTCATCCTTCTTCTTTTTCTTATTAGGGTTTCATGATCTCCCTTGAAAACCTATCTGAAAATCAATCATCGGCCATAAACAAATGCTCTTAATTTTCATTTCTTAGCTTCTTCATAATTAATTAGGTATACACACACGTGTATATATATATATATATATATATATATTCACAACTACAATAATATATACAAATCCATTTTTCATATTTCCTTTTGCATCCTCGATCCCACAACCGTTGGATCGAAAGATTGTGAAAGTGCGCTCCTGGATCTAAGACTCATTCATGCTCACCTTGAGTTTACTACATTATCTGCTTCATCTAGGGTAAGGTTATTGCTACCCATTACATCCATCCTTTGCATGACTGAAGAGATTGGCCTAATTTTTTATGAAGTGATGTTTTGGAGCTAATAGTGTATACTGTCTTCATACAGCAATTGTATTTTTGTGATTCTGAATTTCTGTTATGATTTTCTTTCATTCACTCTCCTTAATGATGTTAAATTATGTTTGTATCTTGAAGGTTGATTAAAAAAATGTTAATATATGAAAGTGTACTACTTCTACTGATTGAAGAAAAATCTGAAGATGTTGTGCTTGAGAAGCAACCCTTCCGCCATAGCAGTACAGCTTATTATCAGGAAAAGCAAATTGTTTGAATTTGATTGATGTGAGAGATCGGACCTCTGATGCTTGCGTAGACCTTGTAGTACTATGCTTGAATAGGTGCAATTTGGACCTGAACTCTATATATTCCTTTGTTTTTAGATTTAAGTTCTACATTTCATGATATGTGAGTTTTTTTTTTTCTTCCCCTGGAATTCAAGCAATGTAATATCCTTGGAATTTGTACTGACTTTCATGATTTCTTGTGGAGCATTTAGTAATGTTGTGGGATAATACTTTGTAAGCATAATCATCAGAAAAAATTATAATTAATTAGATAAATTAACATGTTTCTCTTCAATATGGATCTGTGGAGTGGAACTAAAATGGATCATAGCTTTGTTCAAACCAGCTTGGAACTTTATTATTTATATATCTCAATAAGTAAGCACCAAAAAACAGAAATGGCATACCATGATAAAATGTGTTTGGTGAAGAACATGTAAAAAGTATGGAACATTAAATTGTGGTAAAATCCCAACTTGCATTATTAAGCTGGGTAAAATATGTCTTCACTTAATTGAACCTAGGGTTGGGAACTATACTATACACTCACGGGGAGGCGGTAGGCCAATGCAAGATATCATTAACGAAAAGACAAGATGAATTTAATGTGTTCGTATATGTCTATGTTTATGTTTCATTTTGCTGTCAATATATGTTAAAAACTTGGATGAAAGTTTTATCAAAAGTTAAATTGAAATTTCAAAGTAAATGTTCTCCTTCCAACAGAGGAAATTAAAAAAAAGAAAAAAGAGAAGAAGGTGTCGTCTCATATATATAGACAAGAGCCCTGGCAAACACGGGGTGATGAAGACTGAAGCTTCATTGTGTCATCAATTCCTGAAGCTGAGGCATCATATACAACACTTAATGCCTTTAATGGCCTCAATCTCTCTCTCCCCACCTTGGTAGAGTAAAGTCAACATCAACATCTGTGCCATGCATGGATTCCTCTTTACCACTGACTCTGATTAAATGGGACTAAGACATGTCTACTAATTTTTATTTTTCTTTTCTTTTTTCAATATTTAAAAAATAATAATTAATTATAATAATTAATGAGGCATCTTGGGACAGAGATGTCAGCTGGAGTTATGCAGGTCGCACCTCCCAAGGATTTCTCCCAAATGCAAGCCAAAAAAAGCGAGGGTCTTTCTGGCATGGAAAAGTTAAACCACATATATTAGTATTATTGTTAAGCTCATTCTTTCAGTTTCAGCATCTCTAGCTATTTTAGAGCCCCAAATCTATCTTTGTTTATCACTCCTGAGTCCAGCTGACATATGTGTAACTTAAAGTTTCCATTTGAACAGTACCATTATTGTCCATGCATACACAACACCAAAAACTCAAATTATCTTTTTAAACAAACTCTAATAAATTGCTAAATAAACTCTAATAAATTGCTAAATAACTGTAATGGCACTTTTATTTATTTATTTATTTATTTTAAAAAAAAAACATTTCTAATGGCACTAAAGCATCCACTAACAGAAGCAGCTCACTGCAAGATTGTTCTAAAATATGTCTGGGGCTGCTCTCAATTAATTACAAAAGAAAAAAGAAAAAGAAGTTGTATTATAATTACCACTCCTAGACCTCCAGAGACAGAGACTCACCAAGTCCATTGTTGATTCTTGTGTTCCTCAGGTCTTCGTTTGTGTTTGTTTTTGTGCCATATTGTTACTGTTTTTGTTTTGGTAGCTGCCCATTTTGGGTTCTGTTTTTTTTGTTTGTTGCCCTCGAAGGGTTGGCCCTCTTGTTCAAGAAAGACTTTCTTACTTTGCTGATACCACCTCATTAGTGTGATTAACTAATATATAATGTCATATAAGAAAAAAATATATTTATTTATTGAGTCCTACCACTACCGGTCAATATTCAATTAATTAATAATATAATGTAATCAAAATATAAAGATATGTTATCTCAGCTAATGACTCATTTGTTGGGCCTTTTGTTTTTGTCTCTAAATAAAATTTAATTACCTAAAAATATAATAATAATAAAAAGTTGTTTTTATTAATTATATTACTTTGTGTGGAGATTTGGTTATGTACTTGATTTAAGACATCGTTGTTGAGATGCATGATGTCTGGCTGGCTGGCTGTCTCATTGGGAAAATGCAATTTGGGAATTGTATTTTATTAGCCTTTTTTTTGGAAGTGGATTGACTTTACAATACAAATGACCTTTTAAAATTTTTTTTTTTTAAAGTTAGTTTTTAGTTGTGTGTGTGTGTGTGTGAGAGAGAGAGAGTACTGAGAGGAATCAAAGGGATTGCCTGATGCCTCAAATGTCACTATGTTCCTTTTAATCCCTAATACTAATTACTAAAGAAGGCACTAACTCCAGAGAATTATTTCTATTTTTACTTAGATGATTAAATTTACTTGTCAAAGCGGCTCTAGTCCACTCTCAAAAAGGATCCATCTTTGAATAAAATTGTGTGTGAATAATTTATCACAAAAACAAAATTAATCGTCTCATGTTATGTTAAGATAGAGGTGAAAAACCAAAGGACCAATTGGCCCAGCGGTATCACCCCTTCTTCTTTAAAGGGAGGTCGGGTTCGAATCTCAGTTGAAAAAAAAAAAAAAAAAAAAAAACAAGAAAGGTGAAAAAGTGTGATAATAACTTAAAATAACATAGCTATCACAATTTTAGTAGGCATTTTGCATTTATTACCGCATTCTACTCATAAATATAAAAAATTCATTTTCTCTATTATTACGTATTTTCTTGATTAAAATTGTGTATTAATGCGTAGAACTAAACATGTCAATTTTTTCCCTTCAAGATGTATGAGGTAAACCTAGGTGAACTACTTTTTTCATTAGTCAAAGATCAAATTGTTCCATGGAGCCAAGTTTTCTAGGCAACCATTCTCTAACTTTGACGAATTCGATCTGACAAGAAAAAAAATGGAGTTTTATTACTCACAGATGTCTCGCTGAAACTGGTTCTACCTGGAGCATTAGTTAAATTGTGAATTAGACCTTTGGTTAACACAGTCAAGATGAAACAAATGTTGAAGGTGGACACTTATTAAGCTAATGGTGACTCATCCTTTATCTTGTATATCAAATTAGGGGAGAGAACTCAAACACGGGGACACCTTTTTGAGGAGTGGGGTAATGTATCCAATTAGGTTACTGAGTAATGCCGTAAACCTTTAAAAAAAGAAAAATTATAGCTAAACCTTTTGGTTGATATTTTTTTTTCCAATGAAAATTCTGTTAAAAGAAAAGATTTATTGTGAGATAACAAAACTCTGTTAATGGTGTAGCCAGCAATTAGGAGGACGGATGATAATGCCATTCCCATTGTCAAGCTAAGCGTGGCAGAATTCTGGGGAAAAGAAACTGGAACTAAATACACAAGCAATTTCTACAAATTTAGCAATTCCAATATTGTTTTAATTATATATTAGTTTCCCAATTTTTTATTTACGTATTATTCCTCTTTTTTTTTTAATTTTCAAAAAAAAACTAACGAAAAGAACCAAATGCACCTTTCCTTAAATGCCCTTGATTCATTTGCATTTTTTTTTTTTTTTTTCTCGGGAAAATTAAGCAAATGCACCTTTACAAATGGAAACTTTGCCTAAAAAGAATCAGGCCCAGTAAGCACAACGAGGGGGATCCATGAGGATCATACAATCATGCCGAGCATTAGGCAACCCAATAAAAAGCCCAATAAATAAACCCAGTCTAAGCCCAAACCAACTCGAAATTACTTAGTGGTGCAAGAACCCATGTTGTGATAAGAGTATGCGAGACTACTAAGAGCACCCTACAGGCTCCACTTGCTCATTAAAATATTGTAATAAGAGGATTATGGTGGAAACGTAAATATTCAGTTTTGTTATTTAAATTTTTTTTTTTTTTTCAGATTTCCTTATCCATGTAATGTGGGTGGAGGTGGAGACGTTTTATGGATTGCGTAATTCGGGCTTGGGAGGGGCCCAATTCGGTATCCAGGTCCAGCTCAAAATTTGAAATCACCAACCCATGCATATTCACTCCCTCCACAAGTCGAAAAGCTCACATAAGCACAATCGTGTGAATCTTCAGCTGTTCTGTCTCGTTCCATAAATGATCTTCTCTTAGATAAATAGATTATATAAAATTGGGCCTTTAGAATTTGTGAATGATAAGACTCCGTTCTTGGAGGATGTTTTGAATATAAATATATATTAGGGAAAATTACATATAAATGGAGTCAAAGTTTCATATTTACTTAGAGGCTGAGTCAAAGTTTCATATTTCTCTAAAATGGATTGCTGAGGTGGCACATGGTTTTTTACTGTTTAGAAATTGTGGTGCCTAAAATACCTTTCCGCGAAGGTACTACTTTTTCTTCAAAGGTACTACTTTTTTGAACTGAAGGTACTACTTTTTGGCGTCCAGGTACCATGTTTTTTAAACACCCGCGAAGGTACTACTTTTTCTCCGAATGTACTACTTTTTTGAACTGAAGGTACTACTTTTTTGCACTGAAGGTACTACTTTTTTGTTAGAGAAGGGCATTTTAGGCACCACAATTTTCTAAACAGTAAAAAACCATGTGCCACCTCAGCAATCCATTTTAGAGAAATATGGAACTTTGACTCAGTCTCTAAGTAAATATGGAACTTTGACTCCATTTATATGTAATTTTCCCTATATATTATTATATATGGAGCTTCAGAATTAGTGACAGATAAGACTCTGTTGTTCGAGAATGTTCTGAACTCTTAAGAAATGAAAGAACAATCCCTTGATTACAGCTGGTAATTGTTAGGTTGTTTCCTTTACCAACCGTTCAGGACTCAGGAACTAATTAAAGGCCGTGCGGACTAAGATCACTTTTGGGTTTATTTCCGTAGGTTAGCCAACAGCAACCTATATATTATATGAATATTGGAAACAATTAGGCCATTATTTAGAGCACCCAACTTTTCGAGAAGGTGTGTTCATATTTGAGTCTTTATTTTTTTTATTATTATTATTTTTCTGAAAATATGTTTATGGTGCATATCCACATCCCACAAGTGCCAAAAAAAAAAAAAATACCCTTAAACTTGTTTTAATTTGGTGCAAATAGGTCTTTTTGACAAATTTAAACCCTATGTTAACTAAATTATCCTTACTGAACTATTTTTTTAAATGTTTAAAAATATACAATTTTGTAAAATGACCAAAAATGACACTATTGATAGACACCCCTCACGTGCAAAAAAAAAAACCTAAAGTTTCAATTTAGTGCAAATAGGTTAGTGACAAATTTAAACCCTAAGTTAACTAAATTACCTTTATTGAACCATTTTATAACATATGTAAAAATAAATAATTTTATATAATGACCAAAAATGACACTATTGGAGGACACTGGTAATGGATAAGTAAAGATAAAAATAGAAAATATAAATATAAATATAAAAGAAAAGTAAAGACAAAAATAAAAAAATAAGAAACAAAAATAAAGTGCAAACTAAAGAAAACAAATCTGCTCCAAACTCGATAATCAGTGCACACTGATATTGGGATTTATTATTTATTTATTGTTTCACAGTGATGGTATATATATATATAAGATTAAAAAAAAAAAATTAGTAGAAAACATAAACTGAAATGTCAAAAAATTCAAATCTTTGTTTTACAAATTTTCAAAGTTCCAAAAAAAAAAAAAAAAGGCTTAGAGATATATATAAAGGAAAAATTTCAATATATATATATATATATATATAGGTAAAATGTAATATGCACATAACACTCTTATACTAACATATATATTCCATTGGGCATTTTCAGAAGAGTAAAAAGACAAAATGGGTATTACAGCACAATGTGAAAAGATTACAGGTATTTTTTATACACTTTTTAAAATAGGGGATAAAAGTATTACACTAAGTATATTTTATGAGTGTTTTATGCACTTATCTCATATATATATTGGAAGCAATTAATGTGTGTCCTTTGTGTTGGAATCGCACTTCCTATATGGTTTAATTAAAATTGCATCACGCTCAAAATTGGATATAACACATCCAAGAAAAATTCAACTTACAATTAAGATCCAAGAAAAATTGCACCATCCTAATTCAACTTACAATTAAGATCCAAGAAAATTAAGAAATTGTTTCATAAATTACACAATTGTGTAAAGAGTGCATCAAGTATTCCATATATGTATTTTGTGGTCCGAAAGAAAAACCGCACCATCCTAATTCAACTTACAATTAAGATCCGAGAAATGGTTTCATAAATTTACTTCATATATGTTTATTGTGGTCCTAATGTCCAAGGCATTATGTTTTTAAAAATTTGAGTGTAATGTGATTATAGATATTTGATGAATTGGGTTCATCATCAACATTATCAGTGTCTTTTATTTCGTACAAATGGAGCTAGCCACTTAAATTCTCTTTTTTAATCTGGTATATCATATGTCATTTCTTCTCCAATCAATTAATTGGAGTTTCACTTGTTAAAATTGTAATTTAATTGACCGTATAATTTTATATTGTTGAATTGTGATTTAAATTTTTTTTTTTTGTGGGATCTAGTCTTAATCCTTGCTATCTGAATTTTTAATATAAAGAGTGAGACTTAAATACGTTTGCATAGGGGTGCACATGATTTCAATTCCAAAATTACATTTTGATATATATTCTCATATGGGTGCACATGATTCCAGTTCCAAAATTACATTTTGATATATATTCTCTTTGCCCCAAAATAAATACCGTGTCTTTTTTGAGAAACACTCACAAGAACAAACATTTACTATGTCTTTGTAGACATCAATAGGCATATATATTAGTAATTATACAATTAAAAATCTAATATATATATATATATATAAAATTGTTTTACAATTTGGGTTCTGATTTCGGAGTCTGTAAACGGAACTGTTCCCTGTAGTTCCTAGAAATTGAAATCAGAACGGAATCGTTAGGAATCAAAATCAAAGTATTAGTTTCGATTCCAGTACTAGTCAGTTCTATCGATTCTTTGAGCATTCATATAGGGCGGTGCTCTATTTTACAGGAATAGCGTTATCGTGATTGGAGATGGATGGAAAATTAGTCTTGTCGGAGGCAGAAAAAATGTGACAAGTCTTAATTATAATGAACATCCATGGAGGACAAATTGTGTGGCCAGTGAAGTTAGAAATGAGTAAATATGAACAGTACGTGTTGAAAGCAAGGAAGACGAAGCTTCTACAAGGTAGCTGTCAAACGGCAGGAAAATTGTCTATCACCAAACGGCAACATCTGATCAAAACCAGAATTAATTAAGTATGGCCCACCATAAATATGGAGGTTTGAAAATGGAGAGTATAGCTGAGAGAGAGGTGCATTAACTGAAACCGCTCATTAAACGCTAAGCCACCAAAAAAATATGGCATTTCAAGGTGGTAGTAGTTGAGATCAGAACTAACTAAGCATCACCACTTTTCAAATGAGGCCAACCATCTTTATCATAAAAATCAATTAGCATTCATTGCCAATATCTGTTTTTTAAGTGTATTCAGTTTGTCAACATAATTGTTCTTTTTTTCTTTTTCTTTTTTTTTTTGGTGTATTTTCTATTTTAAAAGGGTACATAATATTCAGAAAAGCATGTCATTTGTGGAGTATATACTACTGTTGTAGCAGTTTGAGGTTTCAAATGGAAAACACACATTGTTTGACTTGGAGATCAGTTTATAAATTGTCCATTGCTCTGGCTGAAATTAAATTAATTTGCAGTTTTGGAGCTTGCGGTTGCTTGTTTGTTATGAACATTTTGGGAATTGTGAGTGAAGAAATGTTCATTAATCATAAATAAATTTATTGTGGTTTCATGTTACTCTGTTTTTTTTACTTCAATTGATCCGATAAACTAGTTACTTGTTTGTTAAAAACGAATTCAATAATTGAACTTCACGCTCTACTTGATAGAATTTTGATTATTGGATTCATTTTTGAATTAATAATAAAAGGAAGTGGGAAAGAAATACCAAAAGAATATTCCAATAACATTTTCATAGAATTGATCAATTATATATGATCGTTCAAAAAATTAAACAGTTCACTACATATTGTTTGAATTCAAATTGGTATTTGTTTCAACTTAGTGTAACGTAACGAAATGTAAATAAAAGGTGAAAGAAGCATGACTAAGCCGATTCACTCTAAACCACGTTAACAAAAATACCATGATTCATTCTGCGACCGCAATAGAATCTATTCTTTTGAATAAACAATTATGACCATGGCTCCTTTGGCCGGGACGGACGATGCATGCGTTCAAAAGACATGGTACGGGCCGAAATGACTTAAGTAAAATGATAGTTAGATAAACATTCTTAATCCATTACGTCGGGCATAAACAAACTTAGAAGATCACATCCGTATTAGTCAAAGTAAGACGCATCATGTGCGATAATAGTCTTTATAGCAAGATCATCATGAATGTTCATGTGTCGCACATTCTACTGTAGATCAAAATTCTCGAACACTATAAATAAAATTCACTTAATGATAAGATAAAGGTACTGCACCAACACAGCTGCTCTTCATTCAACTTGTAATTCTTGACTTGCATTACTCATTCTTTATTTGTTTTCACATCGTTCTTCACTTTAATTGGAATTTGAAAAAAAAAAAAAGAAGATAGATTCTGATCGAGCTATATCTAATAATCACTTAAAAGGTTGATGACAACTGACAAGTCATTGTAATTTGAAAGTTGGCCTTATTTTGTGGTCAATGGACGTACTTACTTTAGACAGAAACTGGAAAGAAATATAATTGGTGACATTTAGAAGTGGAGGATGAAAATTAAAGTCGTTTATATTGGAGAAGGTGACCCAATAATTAATGGCCCTTAAAGAAGAACCAGCTCAAGAGAAGCAACAGCCAACCTTCAATTTATATTTATTTATGACAGTATGACAATGAGCAATGAGTCTGCCACATGAATGCAGTGAGTCATAATTTCAATACAATTAATTCAAAGATAAGATATTTAAGAATAATAATAATAATAATAATAATGATAAAGATCTCAAAACAAGATACATATATATATAAAGACCAAAGCATGCTCTATAATTAACTAAATAAAGTGGATATCTTAGGGAATTTTTTTTTTATTTTTTTTCTGGGTTGGTTATTAAATTAAGTAACAATATGAAGCATTCACACCCCAACAATAATGGGTAATATTTCACAGGATCTAACTAAAAACTTCACACTTCATGAAGAGAAGAAAAGCGAAGCCAAAAAGAAAAAAGAAAAAAAACTTGCGAACTTCAGACTATCTATATCCATGTTTTTGGCTAGATAGAAATTTATGGTGACTTGGTACTTCAAATATTCTCTTCTTAGCGCCAACATAAGCCCTTTAGCCCCTTGAATTCCTCCAAATTTGCTCAAGTTCCCTAGCGAAAGCCTTCTGTCTTCCGACGACAATCGTGATATGATCTTTCTTTTCGACCACCTTAACCCGGGCACGAGGTACCCTAGACTGTACATTGTAGCTGCATTCAACTGGGATGAGTTCATCATCTCTGCCATGGAATATATTGACATCGCACTTTAGGGTGTCCTTAAGTGCGTCCAAGTATGCGTCAATTTTACCAGCAGTCCCACAAATAATGTTGTGTAGGGTATGCCATGCTGCGTTGTGTGTGTGACAACAGAACCCTTCAATCAAATATGTCCTTATCCTGTAAATATTTATGCATTCACAAAGTTACAATCAATGCAAATATCAATAGTAGAAACAAGTCGCTTTCTGTATAAATGGTTCAAAAATTAATATTTAGTACTATGTGTTATAATTTAGAACCAGAGGATTCAAGATGGTACAACAAATATGAAAACCAATTTACTACCAACACCGAATCTGCGTCCATCCTTTTCAAGGAAATTTCTTAACTACATTTGACTTGTGTGTTCCCTTAGCATATAAATTGACTGATATACCCTCAATAAGTGACACTATGTCTTTTTTTTTTTTTTTTAATCTTTCTAGATCTTCTTCCTCTAGAATCTTCTAAAAGTTAAACTTTAGTTTAACATGCAAGTACCATCCCAAAAAATGGAAAATCATATAGTCAACAACTATGCTACATGTAAGTATCATCTATTTACAATTCTTTACAGGAATTGCTATGTCAAGTTTTTTTTTTTTTTTTTTTTTTTTTTTTAATTTTTATTTTTATTGCAGCACATCAGATACTAGTTGCGTTTCATATGAACATGTACTGCACATGTAGAAGGAACAGCAAAGCTAGACCATTCATTTTCTCCATCTGAAGGGGTCGGTGGCCAATAAATAACACATCGATCAGTAGATCCATTGAGATCTATCTCTATTTCTAATTTTATCCATTTCTATCATTCATCCTCAAGAGCCCAAACTGTAATGCATGTCCAATTTAGGCTAGTACTATATACCATAATATATAATAAAGTGACCATACTGAACTTTGCGACAATAGTCTCTCGGTTGTCTCGTGAGAGCCTTACACACTCACCACACTTATGTGACAGTCGAGAGTCATTTACCACTCACGTGACAATCAAGTGTCCCAAGGTTTATTATTTAGGCCGAATAAAAGGTCATATGGCTAGTCTAATATTTATGTTCACGTGGCGTCCAGACCTTCAATTGTAAATTTTGGTACTATAGTGATTTTTAACACTATTAGACCTATGTTGTAGCACATTTATATTTATTTTTTTACAACTAAATGTAATGTATTGAAAAACATATATAACGAGTTAAAAAGTGTAAAAGAAGAGAACATATAATTTCACTCATTCATTGTATGCTATATGTTAACCAATGAATGGTTCAACCTCTTGTTTCAGTGCCTACTAGCCTGCTCACTCATTTTCTCTATATATCCCATTTCATTCAGTATTACTTTGACAAATGTTATCTAGTGAGTGAATGGAACCATCATGGTTAGGCCAACTATAAAGTTGGGTTTTGATATGGACAGATCATCTGCACTGGTCGTGAGGTATTGCTCCTATAGATTTTATGCGTATGTGTATGTATATATATATATATATATATGTACATACCACTCCTACCAAGAAAAAGATGCACAATTAATATGTCCGCCACTTTCATAATACAATTTATCTTTGATTCTTGACAAGTTAACCTACTAATTGAGGCACTTATTCAATATATATCTAAATAGTGGGCAATTAAGTCAGATGGAATCATCTCTCCTAAAGTTTAAAAATTCCCCAATGTTTTAAGTATGTGTAATTTTACTAAAATTTTTGACAAATATGTATATATGTATATATATATATATATATATATTAGCTGGAGGGTAGTTTAGATAATTAAACGCAACAATAGATGAGAGAGTAAGAGCATGGTCTTAACGTTAGGTGAGTTCAACGTTGTGCTAAGTGCAAACTGGGGTAATAGAAATTGGAAACTTGCAATTAAATACCTGTTTCTGGTGATAAGTTTGGTGAGAAACTCCCACAACCGGTGGTTCTTGCAGATACACAAGCAAATTGTCCGACTGATGTGCTCATACCAGCAAGCAATCGACGCGCCAAAAGCAATCACTGGCCACACGCGCCTCGGTGCTACCCTTCTCATCACATATTGTGTGGCTTGTTCACCCTTTGGTGCTGGAAAATATGGCTGCCATTTTTGTTTCCGTGTAAATATACATATATTTGTCAATTCGTAAATATTTTATAAAAATATATAACTTATAATACTATCACCAGAGTGCTCTCACTATAATTTAACTTCAGTACTTAAAGCTGCTAGATTCATATTAAAAGGAATCTTGTGCACAGACACGGAACACAATGCAGACCTTATTTTGAACTCTTTGTGGTACCGTTTTGATACAGAGGCACATAATTTGTTCTCCACAAAAGAGGATCTTGAGATCTAACAGTAATAGTGAGCACTCTTATGATAGCTATTTTTTATTTTTATTTTTATTTTTATTTTTGAATAACAAATAGAACTTACTGGTGCAATAAGAGTTAATGACTTAACAGACCCCGGATGCGTTACGGCAAGTGCAAGAGCCAAAATGCACCCCAAAGAGTGTGCCACTATATGGAAAGATTTCAGTTTGTGTGGCTCAATCACAGACCTTTCAATCATGTCCAAATGCTCTCTCAGGGTGTAAAGGGAGTCAGTTGGCTTGGGACTCTTCCCAAAACCGAGCAGATCGATCGCAAATAGCCTGTACATGGATTTAGCTGACCGAGAGAAGTTCGGAAACAATGTCTCCGTCCAAAATGCGGAAGATGAAATAAAACCATGAATGAACAGCACATCTTCTTGCACATTATCTGATACATCAAAATCAACCGTCAGTTAAAAAAAAAAACAAGGATAATGATTCTTAGGACTATTAGTCAAAACTCTAAGGGGTTGGCTTCAATGGTGAAACTCTGGAACTCAGTGTCTCATGAAGCATTAAGTCTCCGGTTTGAATCCTCTCAATCAAGTGCGATCAATTTGACATAATTCGAGTCTTATCCATTCGGATGAAGGAGTCGTTAATTCCGAACACTCCGATTATCAAAATGAAAGAACAAAACTAGTAGAAATTGAGAGATTACTATTTGAATAGAGTCAAAACTTTGACCTTATTCAATGATAAAAATCCCTTAACTAGAATTCTCGACTAAGTCAAATCAATAAATCTTCTTCTAACTATTTAGGATCGACTACATAAAAATATTATTACCTTTTGGTCCCTCAGCTCGGACAAAGAGTGTTTCTTTGCAAGAGGAGGTCCAAGAAGTGCAAGTTTTGCAATCACAATCAGACCATCTCGGAATGGGTTGAGATTGCTGCCCTCCCATCTTCCCCTGTAAGATTTCCACGATGGTAGAGTTGATGGTGAATGTGGATCGGACAGACCCTTTCTTGACCTTCTCGCAAGAATGTATCATGGTCTTCTCCATCTTCAGCCTCCTGAGCTCGCTAACGGTAGATTTGGAGACATCAGACACCAAAGATGGACGGGTGTAGAGTGTGTCTGAGATCTCCTCAAGCTGCAATTTGCTAGAACTGAGGCAAACAATCTTGGACTCGCCTCGTTCGGAGACCAAGATTTGTCCACTGCTAGTGATGGCCTCTTTCGCGGAAGAGCAATAACAAGGCTTCCATTCGGCTTCAATGAAGAAATCGAAAGCCTTGTAAACATAGCATAGAAGGATATCAAGAAGGTCTAGAATAGAGAACACAATGAAGCTCAGGACTTCATTAATAAGCCTGCCTCCTATTGTCAAAATTGATCTGGTTTTGTCCAGAACCTCCATTTCACAGAAAATGTAATATTTAACCTCAAGAGAGAGAGAAAAAATAGGTGGGAGTTAGGGAGAATCAGGAGGAAGATCGATGATGTTAAGGCATATACATTTGCATGCTTAATGTATAATTAACTGAGAATGTGTCATTGATAATATATATATATATATATATATATGTATATATGGTAATGATCACACTATATATGTTAGGTTAATAGGCAAACCACACATAACCAAGAAAGGAAAGGCAAGAGATGAAGAATGGAATGATGTACTATTAGGTTTTCTGCAAATGGGTCATGGAAATAACCCACCAGCATGCACAAACCTTTCTTGACTCCTCTAGCTATTTGAGAAGAGTTTGTGTGTGCGAGTGCTACTCTTAAAACATGGAGGGGAGAGAGAGAGAGAAAGAGATGGGGTTATAACAAAGAGGTAACTGATAAATGAATTCATTGTTACATTAAAATCGTTTGTTGGCCAAGGGAAAAAGTAGGTGGTGGTTGAACCTCCAGATGAAGAAAATTTAGTCAAGAAATTTCAGCCCATTTCACAAGCTTTCTTACATTACATGTGCAAGATGTTTTCTGTGTTTTTTTGTTTTTTTTCCACATCCAAAACAATGTGCTCTCTTATCCCTAAGACACCCTAGCTAATTCACTTTCTTTTCTTTTTTTTAACCCTTATCTTAAAATAAAAATATTTAATTAATTATATCTGCTTTTGTTATCAAATGACGTGAAAATCATTAAAAAAAAAAAAAAAAAAAAAACAATTTAGGATGAGAGATTTTATTCTTATTTAATACAGATAAGAGTACTTACACCATTCCCAATTTTATCATTAATGACGAGATTATCAGTTCAGTTCATCTCTTAACCTCTCATATAGCTCATAATTTTGATATCATGTTGGAGGTTCAAACAGATTGTAATTTAATTTCTTTGATGAATAATATTCTTATTTTTGTCAAAAATAATTATATATATTTATATATGGATAAGAGTTTGTGATACATGTTATGTATCATGATACACGCTATGTATTAAAATCGCACAAAATATCAATTATTGTTGGCAGCATTATTCCTTTTTTGTTACAGCTTTTTCCACAATAGCATTGAAAGTAGTCTAACTAGTAACTATATAATGTGTGGAAGATTTTAACAAAGAAAAAAAATATTGAGCTCCAAACCTCTTGAATTTATTGCTAGCGTCTAGAACACATGACACCCATTCCATCAGGAGCCAACCTTCACCACCGTCCCAAGCCCTTTATAAATGTAGAGATATATGATTGTGATTGGTCTGGAATGGTTTGAGAAAAGTATAATAAAATATTAAAAAAAAAAAAAAAAAAAGACCCATAGGGGAGCAGGTGGCTTGCATCTATGGACACTATGCTTAGGAAAATTATAAATTTACCTTCCGGAAAAAAAAAAAAAAAAAAAAAAAAAAAAAAAATTATAAATCTACGATGAATATGAATGTACAAACATCTTACCAACAGTTGGTTTGAACCTAAGATCAATGGACCCCACTTTTCTTTCCCTGTAGACCATGTAGTCATATATTTTCCCCGGATTAAACCAAAATTATGATTAGAATTGTCGTGTTGTTATATTCTCTCCATTCTTCTCTTTTTAATTCAATTTTCATTTACTAAAAAAAATCAAATTAACACAATCAAGACAAGTGTTATATATATTGTTGGATTGCATTTGTTTGAAACATTCAGATGGGACCCAACTTAGACCCACTGAATGCATCTAACACTTGCATTTCATTCGTCCGAAGTCCTCATATTTTAAAAAGCATTTTTCATATAATTACCTCATCACTTGCTCAGTTAGAGAAATGGTACCTAATAACCACATATTAGTTGTGGATGTAGTTTTGGGTTAACACATTTTTCTTGTATAATCAAACTCCCGATTATTCAAATCTTAATAGCATAGACTTATATAGGCATTCCTAATAAAATAAGGCCTTACTCCCATTCTATTTTGAGATTATGTAACACACTAAAATCGATTTGCACCTATCCCAAACTTTTTTAGTTCCATTAAACCTATTCTTTAATTCGCATCAATTAGTTTCATACTTTTATTTTCAAAATCACCCTTGAAATAATGATAGATAAAAATTTAGGTACTACAATATCAACATTAAAGTAATAATATTTTGGCGTTTATAAATTTTAGGTGTAAGATTTTTTATGATTTATTAGTGCAGTCACATGGCATGTTGAAAAGTTAAAGCACATCCAACATGGCACCTAGTCTTAACTCACAAAGACACCCAGGTGACACGTTGAAATGTCAAAGCATAGTCTACATGTCACTTAATCTCAACTCACAGAACCTTCAACATGGCAAGTTGAAAAGTCAAAATATGAGGCCGAAATACCGTACTAGGTTAATCGTAATTGATCAGGATTATAAACATCTCAATTGTGGAATGTAAAAGAGGAGATGAAGGTAGAATTATCTCAAGTAAATACAATTATATCTTGGACACGTAGAATGATTTTGGATAATGAGAAATCAAAACTTGCTTAGCATTTGACAATAGAAGAGTTCTAGTGGCAGTCGCGTAAGCGACTGTCCTCTCAGTGACTGAAAAACAATCATAAAAGGTTTAATTAATACCTCCTTTCTATTTTTGTGGGACTTTACAACTTAACTTTTTATAATCAAATTACCCTTTTAAATTATTAAGTCTTTCTTTCCTTCCTTATTGTAGGTATATATATATATATATATATATATATATATATATATAGCTAACCTTCATTCTTTTCCTTTTTTGTTCAATGTCTTTTATAACCTTCATTCTTTTCCTTTTTTGTTCAATGTCTTTTATATATATATATGCTCACTTTCATTGATTCTTTATTGGGTATTTTTTTTTTTTTATCATTTTAAGTTTTAATTGAAATAATATTTTGGGATTGTGTTTTAGTTGGAGTAAAATTGGAGAATTTGAGTTTTAGTTAATGTGTAAACATTGATGTTGTGTTTGATGTGCATGAATAGAATGGAATGAAATGTGGGAATAGAATGAGAATGGAATGAAATGGTCATTCTCATTCTATTATTTGGTTGCAAATATATAACATGTTGGAATGAAATGATAATAATCATTTTAATATTTGATTGGATTAATTTAAAATTTAGAATGGAATGAATTTCAAATTAAATTCTCAAAATACCACTCTTAGTGACAAATAAATTAAATTAACAAAATAACATTCTTCAATAATTTTTTTTTAAGGAAATGACGATGGTGGTAGATGGCGGTGACGATGGTAGTGGAGATGGAAAATGATAGTGGTGTAGGTGGTGGTGTTAGAAGGCGGCGCGGTGGCGGTGGCAGAAAGTAGCAGTGGTTTTGGTTGAAGGCGATGGCAGTGGCAGTGGTAGAAGTGTAGGTGATAATGGCAATGGTGTGGTGGTGGTGGTGGAAGGCGGCAATGGTGGTGGTAGTGGAAGGCAGTGGAGGTGACGATGGTGGTGGTGATGGAAAGTAGTGGCAGTGGCGGCGGCGGTGAAAGGCAGTGGAGGCGGCTGTAATGGTGTGATGGTGGTGGAAGTCGGCAACAGTTGGAAAGGTGGCGATGGTGGTGGTGGTGGTGGAAGGCAGTGGAGGTGGTGGTGGAAATTGGTAGGGGGTGGCGGTGGCAGTGGAGGTGACAATAGTAGAAGGCGGTGGTAGTGGTGGCGGTAATGGTGGTGGTGGTGGCGGCGACGACAGTGGAAGCAGTGGTGGAGGCATAGTGTGTTGGTAGTGGAAGGCGGTGTAATACCCCTAATTTTCATGGCATTTATTTATTTATTTTAAGTGCATTTAAATTGATTTTGCGGCTATTTGTTTATATGCATGGATTTAAATTGTTTAATATAGTTATTATTTAATTGATTGTATGGTACAATGTGCTTATTTGTCGATTGATTGTGTAATTAGTTTAAATGTTTAATTTTAGGGTTAATTTCATTGACACCTTTTCAGATTTGGCCCAATATCACCTTCAAATATTTTTCGAAAATAACTATTATTCACGTTACAAACTTTTATTCCGTTTTTCACTTATACCCAACCATTACTTGCACCATTCCGACACAATGTAAAATGACTTAAATATCCTTTGACTTTGTCAAAACAACTCTTTAACTTAAATAATTAGATAAAAAGACTAAAATATCCTTAAATATTTTGTAAATTTACAAATTATATTATATATCTTTATTTTTTCTTATTTCTTATGTTATATATATATATACAGCGTTAAGGTGCCGCGCACGAGCATCAGCAGCCATGCACCCACGGTGTGGAGTTCACCTCCTGCTTTATATATATATATATATATATATATATATATATATATAAAGCAGGAGGTGAACTCCACACCGTGGGTGCATGGCTGCTGATGCTCGTGCGCGGCACCTTAATGCTGCCCGCAGCTGACTTTAATCCTGGTAATTGATCTCAATTATTTACTTTACACCGCGAAGCAGCGGATCATCTCCCTTTGTTTCCCTTTATCTCAGTTGTCCATCATTATTGTATTGCAACTGCGAATCACTGAATCATAACCCAATAAATCATATTCTCTAACAACGTTGCACAGACCCTCTGGATTCGACCACAGACTGTAAATCCTCATCTTCTTGCTGAAATGCTTCCTACACTCCAGATCTAGACATAAACTAAAACTAAAGTGACCCTCGACACACACCAGTCCTTCATCCATGGTGGCTACGGCCACCTTCCAGTCGTCACCGGCGATTGTGGTGGGTTTGAGGGTGGTGGCCTTACTGCGGCGGTGAGCAATTTCAGGGGGTGTTAATGAGGGTATAATGGCCATTTAAGTAACTTGGTATTTAGGAATAAATTGGATTAAAAAATTAAGGGAAAATATGTCTTTTTTTTAATATTTTTTTATCGAGACTGCGGGGGAAAAGTAAAAATAGATAGCGACCTAAGTGATAATTATTTTCGAAAGATATTTGAGGGTGATATTTAACCAAAACTGAGGGAGTGTCAATGAAATTAACTCTTAATTTTAAATGTTTATTTGTTTATGTAACGACCCAAACCGAGGGTCCAGATCGCTAACCGGGTCCTTAACCAAACCTGAGAACACATTAAGGGCAAATTAGTCATTTTACGATGTGAGTGGGTAATCCATCCTTAAACTAATCAAATAAGGTCTAAAATAACTCTTCTAGACATCCCATAAGGTTCGGTGAGGTTCTACGGTCACCGAATGTGATTTCCCAAAAACACCCTTACCCGGTTCAAAGGGGATCCCGACACTATCCCACTAAAACGACCTTAACTCTCAACATGAATGGAATTTGAGGATGAGATTGGTCTCATTGGAAATCTAACTTAAAATACTTGAAAATGGGCT